TTCGAGTGGCCATGCCCCCTTTATAAAAAATGATACTTGCTAGTCTAATATTATATTATTTGTACTATGGGAGACGTTTTTGTTAAACAATGACTGTTTAACAGTTGAAATGATGATGGGGCTTATGTCCCGTAAAGTAAATTCCAAATCAAGGTCTCCCTATCACAAAATATTCTCAGTAACAAGTTTTTGCGTGCGCGGCATTCGGAAGACATCTTGTCACCGTTTTCATATTTACTGAAATTGTTTTATAATCGGAGCTACAAGAAACATCAGTGGCTTTGTCGGCCCGTGCGAGAAGCGATTTGTTCATAGTTTTTATTGATACGCCGATTGTTTCAGATGATAATCGAGTTCTCTGTATTGCAATTTGAACACTCGATATTTCAGTATGCGATTTAAAAAAAAATACCGCGAAAATAATCCATTACCTATTATTCAGAGCACGGAGCAACTGATAATCGTTTTAAAAAATAGTCCAAGTCATATATTATGTAATTCTAAAGAGCATTTAATTTTTTTAAAGCAAAACTAGTATCATGGCTTCTAGATTTACATACACACACACATACATAAATAGACATACTTCTACAATACAAACATCTGTATTCATATATATATATTCTTCAAAACAAATAGTGCAGGGATCGAGGCAGTGACCATTGAACCAAAACGTGAGACTAGTTCTCAATTGCAGTCTTCAAAAAGGTCATGAATTATCGCGCAATCAACAAAACAAATATAATCGCTATCGCTCTGCTTCTAAACAAACTATGCATACTAAAAACAACTGTATAGAGGCTTTTCAACTATAAATAAGTACTACTCAATAATTGCATCAATTGCCTGAAGAGAAAGAAAGGTTTTTCTTTTCAAATAAACTTAAATACGCTTTTTGAATTGTTCTTTTATTAGCCCATTTTAGTATGCAATTTTGAATGTTGAGAAGAATAGACAAAAAACTGACCCTCAAATTCATCTTAATTTGTGTAGGATAGAGGTAACAATGTATATGACTTTTGTACAAAGTCTCCTTCTGGTCTGAGAAATCAGAGAATTTTATCAGAGAAAGACTCTGTATAAAAGTCGTCTGCATAATATTGAGGACTAAGGATTGAGGTAGTATCGCTAATCGCATTTTTGCAGCCTAAAAACTGTGCTTTTATAATTATTCGGTTTGAATGGTGGGATATGGTAAAGGTAAAGGCATACATAGCACTTTAATCCTCAGGAATGACCGATTATGTGACCCTTATGGTCATATATAACACATTCCTCTCTGCAAGTAAAATCCACAGTGCAGTTCAAGTTTATAAACAAATTACATAAAATATCTAACGTTATACTTAACGTTAGATTTTTATAAATATACTAGCTGTCCCTGCAAACGTTGTTTTACCATATACATTATTCTAGAAAATAGTTTTTTCAGTCCAATCAAAAATAGCTAACACTATAAGTGTGTTAGGATTTAATTATGATTGATAAATTTAATAAATTATTCAAAATAACAAAAACATATTAAATTATAATTATTGATAGGTATCTTACATCAATAATAGTTTATTTTTTATATTTCTACTAATAATTATGGCAATTAAAAAATAAACAAAGATTAATTTCTCAGCACAAAAATTATTTTTGGTCAGTCGTTATCAGTCATATCATCAGTTTTCATTATCTGCATTGTTTTGTTGAATTTGTTGGTCTGATCTTTGTGTTCTTCTATCTTGCTTGACTATAAATTTGATTGTTCAACGACTTTGCGTCTTGCTGGCATTCGATGCACATTCACGTCAAGTGCGCGGTTCGAGTCCTTGCCACCCATAAAGTAAAAATTTATGAAATTCGCTTGGCATTGGTAGCAATGAGCCCACTTTATGATAAACATGGCTTTTGATTTTGAACATGGAATTAAATTTTTGACCGTTTGCAGCAATATTTTGAATTATTACTGTTGCCACGAAAAATGTCATTTGGAAACATGAATTAATTGTGCGAACGACTTTAGAAACAGGATAGAATCTGGATCCGTACCGATAAGTAAGCCGTGCAATGGTTCAGGTGGTGTTTCAATTTCCGTTAGTTTCACTTTCCTGATGAGCAACACATCCCGACTGGCTTATTTTCAAATTTAAATGCATAACAATGCGGGCTGCCATGTCCAAAATACCAATGACCACTTAATAGTAACTTAAAAATAATAATAAATTCACTATGAGAATAAATTTAACATGAGAGTTGTACTGAAAACTTAAAGTAATATAATGACGTATGAAAGTCACTGCTACGATCGAGACAGAAATAAAACACAAACAAAAATGGAGGAAAACTGTATAGAGAGTGAGAGAAAGGAGACCGGCTTCTTTCTCATCCCTACTCGGTGATGTAACTGATTGATTGGTAGTTGATCAGTTATCGACCAGTGAGCGTTAAAGATTAATTTAAATTGATAAAAAAGATTTAATTGAAGCAAACTGTAATTATAAACTATACATGAAAATTTCTCGTACTACAATTATTATTATTCGATTACCATCGTCAAACCCTATTGCGAAATATAAAAATCGCGATTAGAAAACAGGGGTTGATCAAAAAAGGGTCAAATTTTGAATTTGTATATATTTTCAATGCCATATAATAATTAAATAAAAATAAAAAAAATTGTCAAAATAAAAAAAAATATTTAAGGGCTGGTCACCCTTACTATTGAGGGGTATAAAAAAATAGATGTTGGCCGATTCTCAGACCTACCCAATATGCACGCAAAATTTCATAAAAATCGGTTTGGTAACAAACACCGCGACTCGAGAATATTATATATTAGATTTATTTATTTATTTGAATAATTTACAGTCTTTACAATCCGCTTTACAATCTCCCAATACGCTCATCCAGGAAAGTATCAGTACAATAACATATATTTTACAATTATATTCAAAAGGAACGATATTAATAAGATCAAAATCCCATGCAACTACATAACAATAATTCTGTTATTGTAACATCTATATCTTAAATATCTGAACACAAATACTCTGTGGTTATCCGGCGAAACTGTAGCAAGTTGGAGGTAAACATGTCTAATTGCGGATACCGGCTTAAAACATCATTAAGTAGTTTCAATACAAGAGCGAGGAGAGCTTACTTGGCCAACTCTGTTTTTCTTAACGGAACATCAAATAAGTGCGGTCTACGTGCTCGCACGTAAAACGATAAATCTATACACAATTTTTCTGAAGGCGATTTATCGATCATTTACAATTGACAAATTAGAGTTTAAATTTCAGTGCCTGCTTTCCTACACATTTCTATAAAGTTTCATGAAGACCAGAGTCAAGATACAAAATATTATGATGTTGTGACATACGAACAAATGCCCACTTTCAGACACTTGGCCAGGGAGCCTTAAAATTAAATATAATACAATGTTGCCATACTCAACTCAACATAGCACCTTGTAGCCCAGAACAGCCATAAAAGCGGCGGGAGTCAGGACTATAAACTTGACTACGGTTATTGGTAATTACCTGCCTAATGAATATTTATACAGGTTGTAACGAAAAAGTTATAATAAAAGTAAAATAGCATTTGTGAAACTGTACAACAATCCCAAAGAACATTTTGTTTTTCAAAGTAATATTGCTGACGCGGCATGCGAGGTGGTATCAACAAGAAGATACCTGCAATCTCTCTTGACTCTTGTTGTTTTAACCAACTGTCTAAAAAGGAGGAATAACATTATCGAGTGTAAGTAGTTGTATTACATATTATAATGTCATTATATGCACGCCCGAATCTTTAGTGCAACGTGCAGCTTATAATTTGGCTTCATAAATTTAAATAAATGGAAAAACATAAAAACTTTATACCAATATATTTTTTATATCTTTTCATAACTTATACACCTTTTGGCTATAGACATGATTAATACCATGGTCATTACAGAACGCACTGTAACCCTTATGATAGTCATGGGTTTGCAGATAGAAATGCGAGTGGGAGAGTGGTACATTTGTAATAAAAGACTCCTGGACATAATTTTTAATTAGAACAAGTATGATTGTATTTAAATAAACTGAATACCGCAATTTTCATTGTAATAATACCATTGACATTGAATTTAATTGAGGGCGTAAAGCCTCACAGAGACATCTGTTGATATTCTTCGGATATTGTTAACAACCGTGAAATCACAACAGGTAGTGCCACCTGTCTGATAATTGGAAAACAAAAACTGCTTTTAATACGTACTGCTACGATGTATGTACCTTTTTTATACCATAAAGTTGACTAACAAACATACCACCCGTCTTCTTCCGTCTAAAGCATGCAACATTAGAGGTGTATCGTGCGTGCACGTTGCCGATCGTTAAGAAATCTTAATATACCCTACTAAACACCCTAGGGAAAACCTCGGCAGAGAGTTCATTCCACAGCCTGAGCATTGGTGAAAGAAAATTTCTCTGAAACCGTACTATACGTGACCATTTAGCCTCAAGCGTGTGAGAATTAATTCCCTGTCAATGGTGAGCGGTACGATGATAAAAGGTGACTGTAGGCATCATTTCAAACAATTACTCAGAAAACAATTCGATATACAAGCGGTAAAATACACAAAGGGAGGCAAAGTCTCGCCTTAGACTTAAGGGCTCGACACCGCCTGTGAGCTTAGGGTCGGCAACAATTCTCACAGCACGGCTTTGAACCAAGTCAAGAGGACCAAGCTGGTATCCAGGTGCTCCGGCCCACAGATACAGCCAATAGGTACTCTATGAGGGGCCGAATTTGCGACTTGTACAACAGAAGTCTTTATACCTTTTAATTTTCACCGTGTATTTTATTTGAGATGCTTTTTAACATAGAAACAGTATAACTGTATATCTGTGTGTAGATAATATTTTTTATGCAACTTAGAATGACAAACAAGCTGATGGCCCACCTTATGAAAAGTGGTGGCCGTCGCCTATAAACATGAATACTACGAGGACGTATCAAGGACATAACAGAGTATAATGTGTTATTCGTGATGCTCTTTATGCGTTGCCATTCCTAAGGTGTGGTGCTTCTGTTCCCTGTAATTTTAATATGAAACAGGTTTAAAATAACCTAAATGTTTATAAACACATATACAAACCTATAAAAACACATATAAGCCTATGAAAACATGTAGGTCATTTTTTTATACCTATAATTTTATTTATGACTCCATTATTAATTCATTAACCCAGATGCGATGCAATGATAACATTTATAATTTATTTTTCATGTCATGCACTTGCTTCATAATTAGAAATTACAATCGACTGTTGTGAGGGAACGGTCACAAGTTTATGCACTGTACAATTTAATTAAAATATTTCCCATCAATAAAAAGGATTTTTTTTTAAAACAGTTCAGTAAACAAAAATATTCAAGTACACAACTGTATACCTAATTTTAAAATATATGCTTAAATCAAACAGTACATAAAACTTTTTTATATAATTATTAAGTAACTTCTAAAGTTCTAAATGTAATTATATATTATAATTGATTAATATGTCACAAATAAGAAGTCAGTAACTACACATTTAAACATGAACTGTTCTATCTCTAGATGAGTTCTAAAAGAGAGGAATTGTGGCGGGAGAATTATAGAAGAAGAATGCGATTGCGCCGTAAAAGGATCAGTACTGGACAGTTGATAAGAAAGAGTTTTGTGGAGATGTTTAGAGAGTATATGTGCCACTCGTCTATTGCTGGCATTCAGAAAATTGGTGATACTAATATCAAAAAAGGGTTAAGGTAGGCATATATATACATTTATTACAATACTATTATGTAAGTAGGCTAGTAGTTTATAGTTGTATTTGGAAAACGTAAGTGATATCTATTCTTTATTACTTCTATCAACCGACTTCAAGAATTCGGTTGTGCCTTTTTTATGTTTGTTACATCCTAACTCTGTCGGTTATACACCGATTTAGAAATATCTTTTTTTATCTGAAAGGATATACTTACAGATTAGTCTCATAGAAATATTGTCCAAAACTAATTTTGTAGTTTAGTTTCAAATAACTGATTTAGCCCCAATTAAAGTTTTTTTTTTTTTTGTGGAACACAATCTTAAATTATCTTAAAAAGATTCTTCATCAAAACCGGAATCAATAAATATGAATCAATTTTAAGTAAACTTAAATGTCAACGTGATTGCAATTTATTAATACCAAACAAACAAATTCAAACCTAATATACATATATCATTAACTCTATATGTCTGCGTTTTGGTAAAGAGTGAAATTAAAACAATTAAATTACACCTCTCGAAAAGGCAATTTATTTAAATTACTTAAGTATATTTCCGTATACCATCACTATTCACAAGGTGGGCCGTTAGTTCGATTACCATTTTAAGTAGCTTAAAAAAATATTATTTTATTTTTACAGAGTGATGTGGACTTCTATATTATGTGTTATGTTCGGTATAACTTATTACTTTACATATTACACATGGTCGGAAACATTGTCTAAACCCTTCATCGTTACCATGGAATCTTCTACGTATTCAATATCGAATATAGATTTTCCAGCAATCGCTGTGTGCAATTCAAACAGGATAAGTAGAAAAGCACTAGAAGCGATCGTGAATAATATGTAAGTGTCTATATTATAATCATTTAGAAAAAAAATCTAAGCTATGAGAAGCAGCTCTTCTGATACTGCATTAATACCTAGTAGTATATAAAGGGCTTATCAGTACATCACATACATACATTAGCATACTTAATTTTTTATTTTATGTTTGTAACTACATATGTATGTGTTTATGCATTTGTATAAATGGATTTATTTAAGTATGTATTAATAATTTTAAATATACATTTATATATTCACATTACTGTACGTATGCATATCTCTAATGTATTTAAAAAACGAACAGTTTCGTGTCTCTACTCTATCTGTTTAACTCAAACTCTTCTCTATCCAAAGGTTGCTTGGAAGAGATCGCTGTTAGCGATAAAGCCGCCCATTGTTTTCTTAGTGTAATATTCTCTTGTAATTGTTTATATTTATAATATGTTTAAATACTATTGTAATTTTATAGAGGGAACAATAAAAAATCTATAATCAATCTATACATTTTCAGTCATTCACATCGCAACTTCACCTCAAAGGAATTAGAATGGTTCTACATAGAACACGGCCGACTTCTGGATTACACTTGGAATGATGGTCTACTAATGCTTCCTGGCATGGAATATTATAATTCAATGTACTATAAGAACAGTCATAAAATAATAGAAGTAATGGAACAGGTTAATTTAAGAGATTCTACTAATTTTACAACAAGTACTTACTTTGTGGGCAACGAGAACTGAGTATATTTTTTAATAGGATGATAAATGGAATTACAACCCCGCCGTCGCTTTTAGTATACACTGGCGGGACACAGTTTTTTTTTTTTTGGTCTAAATGGTGACCCCGCCTGAGCTATCAGTGTACGCTGACGGAGCACCAGTGACGGATGATAGGTGACAATGAAAATCTAGGTGAGTTAGCCCATCGTGATGAATCCACCTGGATGCACGATCGTTTCCAGTGGAGACCACGTGGATGTCGACCTGAAAGGGTAAGACAGGGGACTGGTGATCTGCATTACTAACAATCCCTCCCCCGCGGGACACTAATATAAAATAATAAGTAAGGATGAAAATAGATCAATCATGATAATTTCACCAGGATTATAGTAAATTCACGAAAGTATCCAAGGGAACCGCAAGGAAGTCGACATGATAAAGAATAATACTAGCAACGGATCATGGGCCAATCCAATTAAGTCAGTCCCCCTACGGCACTTAGATCACGCTAATGTGTTGTTCTTTTTTCTGCACCCGCCTATGCCAATAGTATAAAAGACGGTGCAGTCGAGCTGTGTTTCGGTTTGAAAGGTGTGATATGGCGTGAATTTACAGGGTACACAGGAATAACAACTGAGTCCTCAAGAACGGCAACGCATGGGGGGTATCATGGGCGAAACAGTATACTCTGTTTGTCCATGGTACTGCTCATGTCTGTAGGCGACGGTTACCACTTTCCATTAGGTGGGTCCTCAGCTTGTTTGCCATTCTAAGTTGTATAAAAAAAAGATGGTCATTACACTATATTATTACTGCCCACTGAGAAATTTAATACTATTTTACTTTATGCTTTGGAGATCAGCTTGCACCTAACTGTGATGAAATGCTGTTGAGCTGCATGTGGGGAGGTGACATGGTGAATTGCAGCGAAATATTCAGTGTGCGGCGTACCGTACGAGGCCACTGCTGCGTTTTTAATTACGTTTTGGACTACAATTCAGCAGACAGGTATATACTGACTGATTGTTTTTCAATTTATTACTGGTATATCACTTTATTCCGTGTGGTCCCGGCGTAGAATAGGTCGCCCTTCCTTTTCCGTGTCGTAAGAGAGGACTAAGGGAATTTTATAATCAAGGGATGTACAGCAGCGTCCATCTTAAAACTTTACCAAATGCTTAACTGCGGTTGCAAACTCTCCTGTCAAGCATGACAAATACTGGCAAAAAACCTTCTTATGGATGAAACCTATGTTTAGAAGTAGACAATGAACGGCTGATATGTTTGCACGATTATCACATTATTAGATCGACTATATTTACATTATTTAAGTAGACTACTAAAGAAAAAACAAAAGCTCTCAGGCAAGCATAGTAATAATACCACTTTATAGTATGTTCCACTAAACTTATTCTCGTATATAAATCTCTTCTTTTAGAGAGAGACTTGTAAACATTTCTCTGAGTGCAGTAAAGAATCATAAAACTGTTGCTTCCTCCTTACGGGAAGTACCTAACACATACCCGACAGTGGGATGGAAATGTAAATATTACCGTATGGGACTTATACTATTATAAATATTATTTCTTCTTATTATAAATTTGGTTTCTTCAGGGTCGGCAACGCACGCGTAATACCTCTGGTATTGCAGGTGTTCATAGGCTACGGTAACCACTTACCATCAGGTGGGCCGTATACTTGTTTGCCACCTCAGTGGTATAAAAAACTAAATATTATTTCATTTTCTTAGAGATGCAAATGCGATGTAATTCTTACATTTTATTAGAACGTAAAAACCCACGCCCGCAGTTAAAATATACTCTTTACTTCCTTACTGTAGACCACTTGAGAATAATGTAAAATAAATATGATAACAATGTCTCAGCAGGCAAAATCAGACGATTGCAGATGTGAAGAAACAGTATCAAGCGGGATTTTTTAATGGACTGAATGTCTTCCTAGATCCAATAGTTGAGGATTACGTCTACCCAATAAACAATATTGAAGGATTTGATGTAAGAATAACTCGTTATTTTATTCTTTAATAGTGCAGGGAGTCAGTGGATGCAAGTGGCTCAGGACCGTTCCTTATGATAGTCTATGGAGGAGGCATATGATGATGACGATTTTTTAATACTATACGGTAACGCGAAAGAATTCCTGAAAATTAATTATTATATTACATAGGTCGAATTACCAATATATATATATATATATATATATATATATATATATATATATATATATATATATATATATATATATATATATATATATATATATATATATATGCTCCTCGATGGATTTTTTCGATTTCACGAACACTGTCACTGTATTTTGGCTCGTTATACTCCTTCCAGTAAATCAATTTGTCTTCCAGGTCTTGTTGTTTGATTCTACACATTTCGCTGACCCAAGCGGCGGTCGGGTGATACATCGCATCGTGGAAATAAACAAGGCCATCTTTATCGAACTGCAGTCAGTAAAACAAACAGCTACGGCTGAAGTTCGGAAATATTCACCGACTACGGTACCATGTCTATAATAACCTCCAGTGTACAGGTCCACCTGATGAAAAATGATCACTGTCACCTATAGACATGCACAGCACCACAAACAATTCACTGTGAAGTTCATAGTATTACTAATACGTTGCCATTCCTGAAGTCTAAGATGTTATGTCGCACCTTGTGATTGCATTACCAAATCTCACTGTCCAAAACGGAAATAAGCTATAAAAGCGTAGCCGCTTAACGAGAAATAAGAGTGAAACTGTACCCGAGCAAATTGATAAAATTTTGTAAAGTTATCCTGTGATTTACCAATAACATATGCAGGTGGATTTAATATAAAAAAAAAAAACATAATATAATCTTAAGAGCTGTTTCCTACTTACTTTATTTTATTCTCACTATAATCTAGTTTAGTATGCATCTGAATAATATGTAATACCTACATAACCTTGACTGGTCGTCGTGTTATTTTATAATTGGTTGCTAGAACCATAATCTTGAATTATATTTTTCTTATAGAATACTAGCTGACTCGGTAAACGTTGTTTTACCATATACATTATTTCTAGAACTACACATGAAAATATATCGTACTACAATTATTATATTCGATTGTCATCTTGCAACCCTACTACGGCATATAAAAATTGCGATTAAACAACAGGGGTTGATCGTAAAAGCATGAAAATTTGAATTTGTATGTATTTTTCAATGCTAAATCATAATAAAATATAAATAAAAAAAAAGACAAAAAAATAACAAAAATATATTTAGAGGTGGGTCACCCTTATCATTGAGGGGTTTGAAAAATAGATGTTGGCCGATTTTCAGACCTACCCGATATGCACACAAAATTTCATAAAAATCGGTAAAGCCGTTTCAGAGGAGTTTGGTAACAAACACCGTGACACGAGAATTTTATATATTAGATATTGCTTTGATAATTATTTCTAATCCATCTGTTTTAATAATTGCCTTCTAGTAATATAGCCTGTAAAGCCGGCATCGAATGGGCCACCCCTTCCATTCCCGTGAAAATCGTAAGAGGCACAGGTCTGTTAGTCTCCGTTACTAGTAATCCCTTCCCACGAAGGATTTTTTTTTTTTGAGAAATGAAATTTTTGGTGAATAGCACCGGCAATCGGTATACGGTGACGGGGTACCAGATTTTTCAATTAGAATTACCCGTGGTTCCCAGACAATATCGCGTGGAGACTAGCTTGACTATATTGCTAGTAATGTGGCTGTTAATCTTCATTACTTATAATACCCTCTCATGAAGCACGCAACCAGGCCCGTATTTGCATCATGACCATTCAGGAGGGCCAGAAATGGTCACAAAACATTTATAAAAAAAATACATACAGATCAATCCGATTATTTCTACAATTAATACATTTATCCACATCAACAGAGAAACTGTTTATTCCGTGACGAGCGACGAGACTTCGGCAATGTGTATTCGTACAGTGCTTGTATTGTGAAGTGCAGGATAACCACCGTGAAATCGCTATGTAAATGCACGCCATACTTTCTACCTACCACCGAAAATGACGGCCCAATATGTAGTTTTGATCAATTGAGGTGTTTACATAAATACAAAGGTAAACGCACACAAGGGTACCTAGTCTGTTTTAGGCATCTTGACACGCCATATAAAGGTAGTTACAAAAGTAGGTAGGTAGAAGGGATTGTTAGTAATGAGGACTATCAATCTCATTGCTAACACTATATTTCCTCTCAGGTCGTCCTCCACGTGGTGCCACCTGGAAACAATCATGTTGAATTCCAGGTGCATTCATCACAATGGGCTAACTGCCCTGTCCTTTCATCCTCACCTATCATCCCTCATCTCTCTGGCTTCACGCCGACGTATACCGTCAGCGCAGGCAGGATTACCATTCGTTTGTCATTTATTAAAAAAGTCTGTTTCAATATAACTACGAATATAAGATATTGTTCTAGTATACTATCTTTTAGTATTTCTAATTTCGATTCATTTCTAATTTCATTTAAAGGTGTTTCTGTGATAATTTCAACTAAATTTGATAAGTGTTTTATTCTACGGAAAAAGAGATAGACATTGCCAGAGAATGGTCGACTAGTTTCTATTTCTAATTTATATTTAGCCAGTATTCCACTCCGCTCTGCATGGTGGCAAATTATGATATATTTTACATACAAACCTTCAGTAAAAAAATATCTAAATAACTGTGAAGCGTATCAAAATCCATTGTGGAGTTAGTTGAAATAAGCGGAGAAAAACACGAACGAAGACAATGACTACATTTTATAATATTTAGAGATACTATTATATTTTGCTTGATTTTTTTTTCTTTGTATATCCAAAACTAAATACAATGATATGATATAAAAACATAATTTATCTATGCCCATTACAAAGCGAAAGATTGCAAAATAATATGAATCTTCAATATTACAGAACTAATTCTATTTCTTTTTCAGAAAAATTTTTATATATTTTTCCAATGCATGCTACAGACACTAATGGCTTAGAATTAGAAATGGAAGATTCACTATATTGCCCCGAATGCTTACCTGACTGCGAGTTCACACAGCATTACACGAGAGTATCCAAAATACCTCTTAAGATACACAATTCGTATGCACAGAAGCAATTTAAAGGGATTCTGTTGTAAGTGTTTATACGTATAAATTGCAGAGCACGTATGTAATTTCTGAACTTTTATTGGAAATTACGCAACCATACAATTACTTCAAGCATTACTAAAATCCAGTGCACAAGGCACGCTTTTTTTCTACCCATTGACTATACAAGACCTCGGTGTACTATCGAACCTAAACACCACACCATAGTTACGAATTTGAGAATACATACCTGTTGGATAAAAAGAAGAGTAAAGGACAAACCTGGTTCACGTAGTCCCCGCGTGTAGGTCTTTGTACGCGTTCTCGTTCTCTCTTCTAAATATCTAACACTTGTGTTGATTTCGCTGAAATACCACTGTACGTTGCGCGGAGATCGCGGCTGATTGACTAATTCGCAACTGGTGGAGCTTTTTTTGTGATCTTGGCGGAATTTGATCAGCTCGACACGCAGTTGGATTCTAGACTGGATTTTTCCGTCTACCCCCCAATGTGATCCCAGATTTGATAGGAAATATGGATAGGTAAGGAGGGTAGAAGGATGTTGCGTTCGGAAATGTTTAACGCATATACATATGATGAGATTATATTTACTATACCACTTTCTTTCTATTTCTTATGCTGTTTTTTACTACGCAAATGTCCCGAGATTGACTTCGATCTCGGTTCGTGGAAAGTGATGTCGTCAAAGATTTCTGAACACTTGTCTAAAACAGGTTTAGTGTTTTTGTTAATTCTTTTGATGAAAGGTTTGATTTTAAGTTTACCTTTTTCTATTCGGGCATATTTATAATTTGTTCCTAGTCTCCGCTTACAATATCCTGACTTGAGAATAAATAAAGCGGTGATATATTGTATTCTTGTGCGGAAATTTAAACGTGTGTCTATGGACAATTATATGTAGAAATATGATATGGTGAATAAGATAATTGTTTTCACGTCGCAACGTAAGATGGAGATGAGCGTATAAGTATAGTCAAAATAATATTTTTAGTGTATCGATTTAACACACTGCTTCACCTTCTGATAGTCGCATATTCGATCCTCATCCCCAGACAATAATAAAATTTGTATTCATGAGTATGTTTGTTTGTTGTGGATTTATTTTTCTTTTTTTATTTAATGGGTAAAAATGAAATTGTGACCCTGCCTGCCTTATCGGTATACACTGACGGAGCACCAATAAGGGATGATAGCCGAGGATGAAATAGTTCAGTTGACTCATTGTAACGAATTCAGCAATTATACAAGGGAACAGTATTTATGTTGCATGAAATATTATTATTAATATTATACATTTTAGAGGTGCTGATTTTAGATCTGTTATTAGATTTCTTTGTATCAGCTTCAGTGTTTCAGATATAAAGAACACGTGACTTTTCAATAAAAAAAAAATAAAAAAAAACATTTTAGTTCTATACATATCAGCCACTTGTGTTCGTTATCTTGATTCTTCCCATAACAGGAGCTACAGTAGCATATTCTTCTTTGATTTTAGTTAAATATGTATGCACAGATTATAGATCTTATAATGTTGTTCAAGATTTTAAATGGCCTTATTTAGATACCTGACGTTGTTAAGGATATACGCTTGATAGTACCACGTAATTTCAATATTAGATCTGCTAAAATAGTTAACACATTTTCAACATACGCTTGTCGTACTAACTTAGGATCCAATTCTCCCCTCAACAGAATGTTATCATCGTATAATAAAGCCGTAAACGTTGACCATGATATCGACATCTTTGGTAATTCTTTAGTGCAGTATACTAGGCTTATTAATAATATGGATTGGTAGTTAGGTCTTTTCTAATTGTATAATTGTTAGTTAGTATACATTGACGCTTATCTGTGAGAGCTGTATACGCCTTTAATTGATATGTTCATATAGCCTTAAGCTTGGTAGTGAGGAGTAAGATTTTTTTGTTCAAACTTAGATTTAAACATTTTATAATAGTAGTTTTTCTCTTTTACTTACTAATAATATTGTATATTGTCTACTTAATTATTGTGAGCATATTGTTGGTGTGTCTTTTATAAATAAATAAATAAAATAAATAAATAAATAAATAATATACTATACTATTATTAATTTAAATAAAACACAAAGTAACTGAGAAACGTCCATTTGTAACAAAGATTTATAATTCCTTGTTCTTAGATGTGTAATACTTTTTTTTTTTTAAGTATTGCCATATCTAATTGTAATTTACAACTAAACAACATAGGGATGCCCTATATGCAACAAGTAGTATGGGACTAAATTGGTGCTATGTTCAGAAGTATTTATTTATGTCAGTATAATTTGTATTTTTCAGTAATGGCCTTAATGATATTAATTTAACAAATAAATGCTTTGTAAGCATCTACCAATCGACACCTGATGGCAATTTGGATCGTTTGGACGTAGTGTCCTACTGGTTTGAAATACTTAGTAAGTATAAATAAAAATACATTAATCATGACGATTCTCGTGTGTAATTCATTAGATTTTTTGATTATTTTATTATTAAATATAATTATTTGATATAATATTTTATACAAGTGTAACGAACATCTGAGGGAACAACCTAGAATATCCATTTCTGAATCATGTCGGAAAAGATTATTACCTAAATTGGCCCGATCGGGAATTGAACCTGTGACCCTATTTACACAAAACAATGAACCCACTACTGCGCCATAGAGGCCGTCAAAAAAATATGTAATCTAGGTACGTATATAGATAAAGCGCAGTATTGTATCCAAAACACTGCCAAAATAAACCTATTTACTACGAAGATCCAAACCCTTCATTTTCAAGGATTGTATCATTAGACCTCAACTGAACTATAACCTATCCATACTTTTATGAATGGTAAAAAATAATTATAGTCTACATATATAATCTAAAATTATAATAAGAATATTTTCAGGTACATTTGGCGGTTTTGCAGGCATCGTCATTGGATTTTCTATCATTAGCGTAGTGGAACTTATTTATTTCCTTTACATCCGATTTTTTATAATACTATATATCAATTTAAAAAAATATTAATAGGTTTATTAATACTTCAAGCGATTTGCATTGCCATGATTGTAATTTCTAATTAAAATTATTGTAATGTTATTAAGAATTTCGTTCTGTTAGTGTATGTTGCAATTAAGGTACTTTCATAAAATATTCTAATATAGCTCAACCAACTTCTCTATATATTATTCTACTAAACATTGTTAGGTAAGTTTAAAAATAATATATTATAAATAAATCACATTGTTCATATATTTTAAATATTCATATAATTTATTTTTAAAAAAGCTGAATGCCCTATGATTCCTTTGTTTCAACGGTTAATTAAAAAAAGAAGCAATGTGCATTTACAAAGTATGTTATAGTAAACTGAAGTACTGCAACTAAAATCGTTTAATATATTTCTTATTTTCTTATATTTTTTTTCTATAGAATATTTTAATTAAAAATTAATGAAAAACTATAAAATTTTTAAATAATATATTATTACGTAACAACTAAAACATTTATGTAATGTGTAGTACCGCTCACTTTGTTATTTTATTTACGACAATTTCCAAGAATGCGCGTCGTTTATCTGTCAGAAAGACCGTGGCGATATTGGACAAAGGTTTCAAGTCGCAATTTAATAAATTTTCGTAAAATGTCTGCTAATTCTCCTCCCGGAAAGAGTGATGGTAAGTTATAATTTCTTTTTGTCTCTGTTTTTCGTGTATATACAAATTATTTTACCAACATTCATATTTTTAGGAATCGGTCACCCTGTGGACTCTGCTGTGTCCGCTGTCCCGCCAAATCCCGTCGAAAGCTTAGGAGCTAGAATAAGGGATTTGGATGTAGATTCTATTCGGCGCTACTTGGCCCAAAAACTGGGATTTTATGAACCTTCAGAACCAATAGCGCAAGTTGAAAAAGTCTTAGATGAAGTTAGTTTGGATGGTATTGTCAAGTGGATTAAAAATGTTAGATGCAAAAACATTATAACATTGGCAGGAGCAGGAATATCTACATGTAAGTTTATAACGCTATATAATTAATAATTAATATAAACAATAATAATAAACAATAACAAAACAATTTTTACCACAAAATTAGTGTGCCCCTCATTATAAACGTGTTATTTATTGTTGAAAAGAACCACAGATGACAACAATAATGATTTACCCTATAATGGTATGGAAAACTTTGTATGACTAACAATTAATACAAAAGTTGACTATGGAAACTTTGACTTCAATTGTTGATAATTACATCAAGGTCATATATTCAATGTTTGTAAAATAACTAAATGTAGTACTTTTAATGAAATCTACACATACCTGTGATGACTTGTTGATACTTTGTATAAGTGTCTTAAATTAGTGTCTATGGCTTACTTTTTTAAATTTTTCTTAAAATCTAATTGTTTTACTTATGAATATATCTGTATTTAGGTAAACATGATTTCATGTAAAATAATTTCATACACATGTTTATTAATTTTTTAAGCAATATAATATATCTATGATAGTAAAAATGTGAAAAACAATCTAAAAAAATACATTCGAGATATTAAATAACCTATGCACAAAATAAGCTTCATTTAAAACCCTCCTTTAGACATCTGTTTAAAAAAGTAATAATGTACTATTTATTCAAATTAATTTTTATTCATAATTCTATGTTTACATTATGTTTATAGCGGCCGGGATACCAGATTTTCGCAGTCCCGAAACAGGATTATATCACAATCTGCAAAAGTATAATCTTCCTGAACCGCAAGCAATATTTGAAATAAACTTCTTCAGGCAGAATCCTAAACCATTCTTCACCCTAGCAAAGGAATTGTTCCCTGGAAGTTTTAAACCAACTTTATCACACTACTTTATTAAGCTTTTGCATGATAAAGGTACAGTATGAACATCACTATCATTTTTGTACCATATTGTATATATAAATAAAATTATAATTTATATGTTGATATATTAAGCATTATTATAATTACATTTTGGTAATGTATAGTTTACTTCTACTTACTTTATAGAAGGGAGATCACTTTTTTTCTACCTTGTACATATGATTCTTTGTATATTCATTAGCTTTTAGCCACAAATTCATTTGTGTATTTGTGATATGTTCACTGAGCATGTTAAAAAGTAGCCTAAACTCTACTCCATTGCATATAGTGCTTGTATAGCAAATTTCATAGTGATGGATTCAGCCATTAAGATGCTAAGATATAATAAACAAATTCACTTTTATAATATTAATAAACGACTGATGCTGACTGTCACTTATTAGTTATATGTTTTTTAATCAGGATAAAAACTATCTATAAAAATTGAAACAAACAATATACATTTACAAAATTTTATTACAATTGCTTGTTTGATTACACAGATTAGTGTGAATGAATATCTGATATGGTAGTTTTTACATATTAAAATATACTTAAATATATGAAACTAATAGCCACCTAATGTATTTTATAATATTTTTTTATTTGTAGGTTTACTTCTTCGTCACTACACACAGAATATTGACACACTGGAACGTGGTGCTGGCATTCCAGAGGACAAGATTGTCGAAGCTCATGGTACTTTCTACACCTCCCACTGTTTGGATTGTCGAAAGGAGTATGGCCTAGATTTTGTCAAAGGTAAACCTTATTCAGTACCTTATGTTTGTACATTGGTGGTTTTACTGATAACCAATTAATCTTGATTAACCTTGAAAAAGCTTTTACACACTAATTAATAAATGAACAAATTTATTATTTTTACTTAGTAAAGTCTCATTTACATGGATACTATGATTGTTGCAATTGTTATTTAATGCATATCATAGTACCATAAATATAAAACCCATACTTCTTACTCTTAAATACTTGTGTTCAAACCTTAACAAGATGAGCCTTTCTAAATGTTTGAAAATTTGAAACATAAATACCTACTAAAGTTACGTACTTTCAGAGCGTATATTTGCTGACCAAATTCCTATATGCACGGAGTGTCCGGGAGTAGTAAAACCAGACATAGTGTTCTTCGGTGAGAGTCTACCGGAACGGTTCCAACAGTGCCTACAAGAGGACTTCCAGCAGTGTGACATGCTCATCATCATGGGCTCATCCCTTGAAGTACAGCCATTTGCCTCGCTTATTGATATGTAAGTTATTGTCAGTTCTTTTGTATAATTTTTCTTCCTTTTCTATAATTTTTTTTCCGTTCATCTTTCTGAGATGAAATCACTTCAACATAATCTCCAGACTTTTGCATTGTAGGGTTCCAGAGTGGTGTCCGCGGCTCCTCATCAACCGGGAGAGAGCAGGTGTTAGGTCGCCGCTGTTAAGACTATGGGGTCTCATGGGCGGAGGGCTGCAGTTCGATGAAGACGCTATCCGCGACGTGGCGCGACTTGGGGACTGTGATGATGGCTGTCAAGATCTCGCTGATAGACTTGGTTGGGGGGTAAGTGAACCCAGATTTTTATTTCAAAATATAATTTTAATAATAATCTTAATTAAAAGCAATTAATGCGATGCGATTAATTTATGAGTTTGATATTTTGAAATGATTATGGCTGTGAATGAAAACATTTACAATCAGACAATTCTGTGTAGCTGCATTCTAAATCTTTTCTTATGTACATTACACTCTGAACTCATTTGATTTTTTATATTCTGTATTTAAAAAAGAGTATAATAAAAAAAATAATAATCAAACTTTTTTTTTTTTTTATAACTAAAAGTCTTTCCATAAAACTTCTCACCTTGTAATATAAATACTGGATAAATATATAGCAGTAGCAAAACTAGTATTACACTAAAAATAGGTAAGAGAATTGAATGAGAGAGTGTATGTCTGTTGTTGTTGTTCTGTCTCTGTCTCTCTCTTGTGTACTCTGTCCCATTCGTGTTTCTACCGTGAAGTAGTTGTGTTTGCATGGCTTTGTTTTGGTTGGAAGGGTGGGATATAGCGGTGAATTTACAGGGTACAGAGGAACAACACCTGTGTCTTCAGGAATGGTAACGCATGAGGGGTATCGTGGGCGAAACAGTACTGTGTTAGGTCCATGGTACTGCTCATGTCTATAGGCGACGATTACCACTTTCAATCAGGTGGGCTGTCAACTTGTTTGTTGCATAAAAAAATCTGTAAAAGCCGCGAGCTCGAATCACTGAATGGGAATAAAGGTGTATGGTAAATTAAGAAATTTTACATTTATACTGTTGATTTATGTCTTTATAAATTTTATGTACAGGACGAACTACGTGCTTTGGTGGCGCGCGAACACGAACGGCTTGACCTTGAAGGTCGCGCGACTGCTCCCCACGTGCCTGTACCAACTGCTGTAGATCTCCCAGGACCCTCCATCGAGCCCAAACTATGAGTATACCACCTATATGAACATTTAGTAATGAAGATAGCACAGTAAGCCTGGGCTTAGCTCTCTTCAACACTTATATATGGTGTTTAAAAATATATTGCAAATTATTACAATTTCTTACAATTGGTTAAATTGACAGTGCGGGATAAAGTCAGGTTACTTGACTGATTATAACAAATTCACTAAGAGTTAACCATAATGGTCTTCTCCTCCTTCTATAATAGGATATTAATCTACAAGTAATCAATTTCGAGTTTTTCCTTTGTTGAGATGAAAAAATATCTATCCTATTTAAGAGCTGCCCTCTTGTTGGTGGAGCTCTTGCCACTCACTACGATTTTTAGCGAGTCTCTTCACCTCTTGATACGACACGACACCAACTTTTTCCTTGATGCCAGATGTAACTGTGCCTTAGTGTCCCATAATAAAAAAATAATATGTAAGTAATTTATAACACATTTGTATCGTGAGTGGGGTTAAAACTGATTGTACTCTAAAAATTTGCACTTAATGTAGAATTTGTTATGATGAGCCAATTGACGTTTTTTTATACTGTGAAGATGGCAAATAAGCATACAGCCCGTCTAATGGTAAACGAGGGTTACCATTACATTATCAGCCATTAAACAAAAAAAAAGTATAGTCCCACATAAATCATAGAAATAATATTACTTTACTATTCTATATTTTTATGAAACACACTGTATGAGTTTATTTTTAATACCACTCTGTATAACACCTATGTAGGTCCATGTTTTTTAGACTTAAGAAAAGGATATTTTCGTGCAATGTTATATTGTCCCGCCTGCGCTGTCGGTATACACTGGCGGGGCACCAGTGAGGGATGATAGGTGAAGATGAAGCAAGTCAGTTTGGCCCATCATGTCGAATTCAATAGTAAATCGATCACGATGGTTTTCAGGGAAACCGCGAGGATGTCAACCTGATTGAGCATATTGCTAGCAAGGGGGACATTTGATCCTATTACTAACCCCTCCCCGACATCATAGTAAGTAGTAATTAAAAGATGTGCGCCTGTCTCCTTCCTACATATTAAATATGTCATAATGTCATAACGAGTAACAATTGTTGGGATTAAAGTTAAGTTGGGATCAAAAAGTACATTCTAGCTATTTTGGTCTGTTACTTGATACAGCATTAGCTGTAAGGAAGAAGTCGCAAATTCATTTTATTAAGTATATTTTTTATTCTATCAAAAAAAATATAGGTATAAAATTATTCGAATAGCACCGATTTACTATTGGAATATTAATTCTAAAATAATATTCGAATACAAGCCCTACTCCCAATTTATTTGCAATATATTTTTAATCACCATATATGTTGTTATTATTATTTTGTTGTTATATCTTTATATCTACAGACTTAACTCATAATTAGTAAGGGTTTGAAATTATGATATTCTAATTTATTTATATTGACTATTAATACATGCATTAAATACAATTTTTGTTTATGACTTGTGTAATTTATGTGACAAATGTTGACGTTTCGTCAAATAATAGTAAATATCTTTTCTTTTTTCTTTAGTTTTAAATTTTATATCTTGACTGAGTCCTACATGTAACAACTTTGTAAATTTGTAACAGTGTAACGAATTTACAAAGTAGTGATAACTATGATGAGTTTAGCATATATTTACATTAAAATGTTTTGTCTGTAGATATGAAACACCGTTTATTTTTATTAAACTATACAATAATTAAATTTTCTAAAGTATACTTAATATGATCATACATTTTTATTTGTCAGTTTTATTAGTTACTAAATCGGTAACGACTTGAAACTAGAGTATATTGTGATTGAAATATGATTGACAAGCTTATGAAAATATATTTGTATATAGTATTGTATATATCAGGAGCTAACTGATAAAATTATAGAAAATATTTCATTTATAAATAAGCAATGGAACATAGAACGACATATAAAATATAATATAAAAAAATAATGATTGATGAATAATAAGTGACTACTATTTCAATTATATCAAGCTTTCTATACGGCATAATGGTTTCAACAAAAAAGTAAAAATGCTGATAGTAATTTTTAGTATGGATTTACTTTAATGCATAATAAATGAAGTACACATAAAATAATGACCTAAATATAAATACTGCAACATTAATATAAACGAGCCAATATTGTACTTAAGTATGCGATCATTCAAGTATATAGTTGAAACATTTACATACATTTTACGGGTTGGTCATTTTATTTTAAATGTTAGATAATAAATATAATAGCAATATTAGCTATAAATAAAATATCATAATGGTATATATTTTATTTTCGCCAAAAGTATATATACCAGAGAATTGCAATGAAATTATGAAGTAGTAAGAATTATTTATACATTGTCCAATATATATAAAATTATACATTATCAGATTATCTAAATTTGGTCCTCGCTACGTAATGTATAATTATAGTAATAGTTGATTGTATTTATTTGTGTAATAATAGTCTAATTATAATAATTTATTTTTATTGAAATAGCACGTTTAATTTTAGTGGGGAATGTGATTAGTGTTTTTGATATCGGGCTGTCGTCTTTGTGACTTTGAAGTTTTAATTAAGAATGTATTGAATTGTGATTTTTTTTTTCTATTAAAAAAAAAAATATAGTGTGAATAATGTCATCATAGTTACTTGTATATTTTTTTTTTTTAATATTGTTTTACTTTAGGACATTAGATTTTTGTGGTATCATGCCCCAATAATAAAAAAATCACGCTTCAATGTTCTTAGAGAATAAAGGGATTAGCTTTGATCAAAATAAGAATAGAAATGTTAACGTGATAGAACATCGTCAAGCTGTCAACTGCAACCGGAGTCTGTTCTGAAGTGCCATAAATACCTATCACCTAAAAAGTGTATTCAAAGTTAATAATTAAGCGAAAGTATTACGTTACGGATAAAGATCATCAAGAATTACTTTATAATTGAAACCTTGACGAAAGAGTATTCCTTAATAAAAGGACGGCAATATGTCTGCAATCTCCCTAATGTTGCGGGGGTATCTATGGGGGGCAGTAGTCACTTACCATTAGTTGAGCAACATGCTCGTTTGCCCCCTGTTATAAAAAAAATTGTTCATACTGATTCTTACAATAATAATTTTCCTGTAATATTAAACAAAAAAATTAATTTTAGATAGAAAAAGGAACGCTTCAGAATTCTAGTGTAATATTAACAAAGATTGGCATTGCTACTGCATTAGCGCGTACATTGAAAACTAGCGCCTCTAGCGGATGTTTTCGGAAACTTGCAACGGAGTTTACATCTATATGTATAAACGTCAAGTATTAGAAAAGTAAATCTTTGTACGACTCATATTGTCCATTCAGACAGAACCGACTTCACTGAAAACTTCAAGAATATTGTTGATGTAATTTTTTTTTCATTTATGAGTTTCTTCTTGTCGGTACAACTAATTCATGCACCTTCTTCCAGCCAGGTCTATCCCAGGCCATATCCTTGACCTCCCCATACGACATTACACCTAGTGTTTCTTTTATCTGTCCCATGTAGTTAGTAATTCCTTGGTCGTCCCCTTCCTCTTTTGCCTTCTACTTTTCCTTCTACTATGCTCTTAAAAAAATCGTCATAACGTATAAGATGGCCCAGCATTTTGCCTCTTCTATTTTCTACTGTTTTAATTAATGTTCGTTTCTCATTCACTCTTTTCAGGACTTTCTCATTTGTTAGTTTTCTGTCCAGCTTATTTTGAATTTTGGTTTTATTTGTGTTAATTTTGAATGACATTTCCTTAAAAATTGTATCCATAAAATTTAATAATATTTCTAAATCTTTACGTGTTTCTGCTATGTCATCGGCGAATCTAATAAATTTAATTACTTCCCATTGAACTGGACACCTTTATCTGTATGTTCTAAAATTTTTCTTAAAGCTGTCTCTATAAATATGTTAAATATGAGTGAAGACAACGAACAACCATGTCTTACTCCTTGACGAATTTTTGCTTTTCCTTTCTCCTCTTCTATCTCTATTAATAATATATAATACTTAATGTAAAATTAAATAGTTAATGTAATAATACTAAATAAAATTACCACTTTCCATCAGATAGGCCGTCAGCTTGTTTGTCATTCTAAGTTGCATAAAAAATGGACAAACGTCAAAAATACAAATATTATGTTATATATATCATAATTTTAGCACTAAATTAAAATATTCAACAAAAAACTGAACCACGTTGCGTCAGAATTGCTTTACATTTATTTCTCGATGGTCCGCACCCAAATAATTTACTAAACTGTCAAATTAAAAATTTATTTTAAAAATTAATTTATAGAATGGTACTCCAAAATAGGCCCAGCTGTTTTCGTTAGTTCGCATGAAAAGTATATTTACATCTCTTTTTCAGATACCTATATAGTCATACCCATTATTCATGACACTAAAGTCTCTTCAAAACCTATTATAGCTATTGAAGTGCTTTGTCACTTTCTTTCAAATTAAGACTAGCGTAAGAGAAAGACAAAATATTTCACTAGCTAAAATAGGTTTATTAGAGGTTTGAAGTTTTTATGAAAAAGGGAGTTAGAGTGGCAGGTATGCTAGACGTCACAACATGGCGGCAACTCAGTTCCATTCTTATTTTGATCGCATTATATTTAAGTTTATAGTTTTCTTAAACGCATATATTCTTAGAATTTGTATTCTTTCTTGATTTTTTTATACATATTTAGATTATAATGAGCTAGTAAATATACACGTATCAAATGATGAACTTATGTAAAATGTAAATTTTGATGCACCATTTAAAAATTATTGTTATGCGGAAATATTCTGCAGTGCAGTGTATTTATTTGCTCTTTTTCTAAATTAACTATTTAAAAATAAGGTAGATACAATAATAATAATATGCAGTAATACATAATCAGTTAACAAACCTTTTTATTCTAGATATCTATTCCTGTTGTTATGTTGTTACAACAAATTATACTTTGCAGCATATATATAACTATTGTATCTACGATGGTTGCCTACAGCACGAAAACTGTACTAAATTAACTCATGACTATATAAAAGGGTAGTTATCAAATGGTAGAGAAAACTCCAAATAAAGTAGTGTATAATTAGAAAAAAGATACATTTCACTTTGGATAATCTAGGTGTCAATTTAATAGTGTTGTTTCAGAGATTCATATGCGCAACCAACACTATTCCAAATTCGAACAAAGTTTCGTGGACATTTAAAATTAAATTCTCATTTCAAAATAAATTTGTCCCATGAGGCTTTGTATTTGGAATAGAATGTATTTTCGTACCATATTTAAAATGAATGTTACTTTTGCCTTAAAAATTGTATCATAGATCTCAAATTCATAACACAATATATACTTATTTTATAACCATTGTATTTCAATAAATGTATATTTTATTATTTCCTAGTATTATCAATTTGGTTTTATCATTTTAATATAAAAATTTCATTTTATATAAAAATTTAATCCGAGGCCACTTATCAAGAAAAGCAATAATAATTCATGAAGGTTTTTAATTGAAACAAACAACTAATATACAGATTCACATCTGTAATGTAAATGTAAGCGGCTATGAGAAACGAAAAAAGTTAAAAGTTTTATTTAAAGTTCCTATTTAATTTAATCTAATCAAAATTAAAGGCCCACAACTATATAGTAGTCGCCCGTTTCTGTATATTAGCCGCTCCACATATCATTCAATGGTAAATACAACCTTACATGTAGTTGGTTAATAGCCGTACTCCATACAAAAAATTAACGTTTTCCATTTATAATTTCAATATGATGTTGCCTATAGCCGGCTGCAAATGGAAATAAGCTTTCATTTACTTTCATTACCTGCTAAACCCTGTGATTTGATATAATTTTACATAATAGCCAGTTCCTAGATAGTAGGGATGGTATCGTTATTTTAGTAGGTATCGTTTTACTAGGTAAACTCTATTACAGATTTGATTCAGTGCGCTTATTTATCTATATAACGTAACAACGTAAAATGTGACAATGAGCTTTCGCAACTCGGTATTTAACAATCGATTTTTACAAATGAATATTTTTTATCATAATATAGTATCTAGATGACCGAGCATTGTTAGTTTTCTTTTGTAGTAAAATCCACCATCAATTGACACCACATCATCAATCAATCACCAATTGTCAACTAGCTGTAATGTTTCTGTATCGGTAAAGTAGTACCAAACATTTATTTGACTTAGTATTACTTAACAACGCCATCTATTGTCAAGTAGCTGTAGTGTTGCTGTATCGGTAAAGCAGTTGCAAGTCGATAGTTTTTTTATTATCTTTGTATCGAGACAAATTAGATGCATTGTCGGTTTAAAGAAATGCACTTCAAAATAAGCTGCAGTGCTATATTGTAAAGGTGGCGACATGTTAGATTGTGTTACCATTTTTAGAAACTTATTTTAGTTTCCAATTCGATACTCTTGTCAAAAATTACAAAGTGTGAAAGTATGAAATTGAAGCAAGTTACGAAATTTGATAAGATATTGCTCCGTCAATACACGGAGAGAGTAGAACGCAATTCGTTTGTTCTAGAAAAATCGTTAACTGACTTTATTTTGCCCACAACTCTCAATAAAAAATTCCAAATACTTGTTCCTTATTTTAGAAAATGAAATATCAGAAACAACCCTATATCATGTAAAAATAAGATGTATAATCGCCTGACATTATCAAATTCGTTATTTCCTAAGTAAAACATCAATACATCTAGTAACTTACCTATACCATTATTTACTAAAATAGAAGCATATTATTGAAATATTTCAACCATAATAATACATCGTCCGCTTACTACCTATATTTATCAAATTTCAATAGGATATTGTTTGATAGCAATATAGTACCTATGTAAAAAAAAAAATTGTAGTTACAAAATCAGACTATTTCTAGTCAATCCTGTCTCGGTCGTTATTAAATGAATAAATAAGTGAATCTGCTATAATAACAAATTCTTATATAGCACGCAATTATGAAACGTGTTCAGATAAATCAGGGCCTTATATTAATCCATATAAGTTTATTGTCTTTATTTCAATATTACTATTACCTATTTTTTTATTTTTTTTTTATACCACAAATTTTTGTATCATGACTTATTTTTAATTAACAGAATCGTTAAGTACCATCCTTATATTTAATTTCTGTTTGGATTTATATTTTTTTACCAATTATATTGTTATTAGCTAAGCAACACTACTCTTTGTTGAATGCAAATATGAAATAATAAAAGCTTCTATGTTTTATATGTGCGATAAAAATAAAACAGCCTGTAAAAATACATACTTTTTTTATTATAGTTAAATGATTAGTTATGTACACGTCCATATATTAAAAACAATCCATTCATGACCTGGATGTCTACTACGAAATTACAAATCCAAATTTTCGGCAGAGTTCAATCGTTTTCTATTATGAATTCTAAATGTAATAATTGATTTCGTTTAATCACTTAGTGCAGTACTTCAGTTCATTCTGACTGAATTATATTTGAGTTTGGTTTAATGTGTCATGTAAAAGCCCAATTCTTAACAAAATTGATAGCAACAATAATTTGAAATATATAAGGCACTATAAACCCCCCCCCCCCCCCCCTATGAGGGAGACCTATGTTCAACAACACATTTAACGGCTAATATAATAATAAAAATACAAGGCATTTATTTTTCTTTGAAGAGAACAAGATAGAGTTTTTATTCATTCATTTATAGCAAAGTTCGATTGGATATCATTCTGGTGCACACATTCAGATTTATAATTTCGATTAAGCCCCTCTGGCTTTATATAAAAAGCAATATCTTCATATCTTTAAATGATTAATAGAAAAATACAAAATGTGTGATATTGGTTGGCACAAGCTTTTAAATAGCTATATGGTCTATGAACGTAAAATATGTTAATCACATAGACTTTGTATTTTACCATTAAGAGCTGTCATACAGAAATCTGGCTATATCTGAATTAACTGCCTATCTCTTAATCTAATATTTTAAATTGATAACATTGCGAAATTACTGAACTATGGACTAAAATAAAACTAAAAAGTTTAGACTGAAATCTATTATAATTAGTTCATATTGATTCTTGCAATAAACAGTTTGCTGTGATATCAAATTGAAATTTTAATATTAGAAATAGAGAAATGGAGTCTCTTAATCGACACCTTTGATTTAAAACATTAAATTTGTCCCAATATTTTTTTTTACCATCAATTCCAAAACTTCAAAGTTTAATAAGAAACCTATTACAATCATCTTTTAATTCGCTATAAGGGCACTTTTTATGTCGTATACCAAAATTTACAAAACTGTTTAATTTAAATTAATTTTTGTACAAATGTAAACAATGTAGTTACTGATAAGACCTATAATAAAGTTTATTCTTTAGCGTCCGTGATACCTTCGGTACTAATAGCAAACATGGCTTCTGTTTCCGGTAAACAAGGACTGTCATAAATCTTGCAAACGCGATTGTCACCCCTACCCTTTCTTAGATAGAGACGCGTGGTTGATGCATGAGCAATAATATGTCCACCAATCGGCTTCTTGGTGTCTGCATTGAAGACGCCCACTGCATCCACTTGGGCAACCACTTGGTTCGTTATAATAACGGCCACTCCAAACTAAAATAAGATTAATTTTATTAACATAAAGTAGGGTTTCTTAAAATATTTACAATCATGGACAACTTTCACAATGTTTCAGACCCCTGCCAAAAAACATTTTAGTTAGGTGCTAAAATTTAGGAAACTGACTGATACAGTTACCTGATCTACTACAGACTCCTGATGCACATGCTACGGACCCTTAAGGGATCCGTGAACCCCACTAAAAACCCTAAGTTATAAAGAAACATAAGTTACTTTAATAGGGTTTAAGAGGAATAACCACCGTTGTTGATTCGTATGATTCATCCATCACATCAAATATATAAATAGTTATTATTAATTTAAATGGATCCTTCTAAATTTTAATTCCAAAAATGTAGTTAAGTAATCTCCAAATACCAGAATATTTTATTTATTTATTAGTTGGCTTCGCCAAGAAATAATCTCTATTAATAATTGCATGTTATTGGCAAAATAGAAATTCTATTTTTATTGTAATATAATTGAATTAAGAAAATTCAACATACCTCGTCAGCCAACCTCAATAACATTCTCATGAAGCGACCCAAATGCTGTTGCCGTGGATTCAGTTCCCCCCGGCCAGAGTAATCAGTCCTGTAAAGTGCTGTAGCACTGTCCACTATTATAAGGGAGTATCTGAAATATAAATCAACATTTTAATTTTCTTTACATACAACTGTGAAATTACAGATAATGGAAATAGTCCTTAGGAATGGCAAACCATTGTGGTTAATTCTTTATGAAATTCATCACGATAGGCTAGTTGACCTGTTTTCATCATCACTTATCATCTCTCACTAGTACCTCACTAGCATATATCGATAGCGCAGGCAGAGTTACCACTCCATTGTCATCCATTAACAAAAATGCTTGCATGGCCCATCTTATGGAAAATGGACTACCATTTTCCATAAAATGAGCCATCAACTTGTTCGATATTTCAAGTTACATAAAAAAATATTTTGATAACTATATTTATAAGTCATACATACAGACAATCAAAATTGGCCGTGGCAATATTAAACCAACTACTATCAAAACGTTTATATCTGAATAGAAAAAAACTTAAAATAATGATAGGGACAATAACAGGCCATTGCCCATTGAACAAACATTTATACACAATAGGAGTCACAGACAACTGTTTTGACGACAAAGAAATGGCTGCTCACGTTATCCTGAAATGTGACGCTGTGGCCCTTTAATGTTTAGAAATTCTCGAAACGGTTAGGTGTGTGAAGATCCCAGGAGCTTCTGGGTAGAGCTGAGCTGGCTGTACTAGCCAAGACTCATACACACAACGGCCCAAATGAAAGGCTAAGCATGGAAAAGAGAGTCCAATTTACAAGTCGTACCTAGATTCAGCCATCATTGCACAAGCTTGCACCAGCAGCTGTGTCTGATGGTCTGTGTTGTAGGCGCGCGCATACGCCACGTTATCGAGTACCGCGGCGCCGTCCATACCGTAGCGCTGTGCCACGGCCAGCAGCCTCTCAGGGCGGAATGTGCCCTCTGTGTCTATGTACATACATTTCCCTTCGCCCCCAGATTGTTCTATGGGAAGCTGAAAATAAAATTAACCTAGATGATAATCTGAAGCATCTTATAGATTGTTGCTATTATAGTGAAAATATACATAAACAGCTAAGTGTATGGGAATACTATATGGATTAATATAACCTACAGTTCTATGAAATGAACTGTTAAGAATGACAGTAGAGATGTAGAAGTATCAACCAAGTATGCCCAAATAATAAATGATGTGCCAGCCAGCCAGAGGGAGACTTTGTACAAAAGTCGATTGCTTGGGTACCTCTGTCCCATTCGTGTTTCTACTGTGAAGCAGTTCTGTTTGCATGGCTGTGTTTCAGTGTGAAGGATGGGATATGGCGTGAATTTACAGGTTACAGAGGAATAACACCTGAGTCCTCAGGAAAGGCAACAAATGGAGGGTATCATGGGCGAAACAGTATATTCTGTTATGTCCATGGTACTACTCATATCTATAGACGACGGTTACCACTTTCCATCAGGTGGACCATTAGCTTGTTTACCATTCTAAGTTGTATAAAAAAAACACTGTATATATGTATGTATATATATATATATATATATATATATATATATATATATATATTATATACAGTACTTTTCACAATATATTTTACATATATTGTTAATAGTTTCAATATATAAAAACACTTAAAAAAAGAAATTACCTGACAAGTGACAGCCAAAGTGTGGCATAGCTGAGTTTTTCCTGTACGAAATTCCCCAAATATTTCTGTAATAGAGCCAGTCTCTATTCCACCGCCAAGCAATCTGTCCAGTTCCTTGGACCCTGTTGTCAACTGAATTATTTCAGCCCTGAAAGATTTATTCTGATTATGTAGCTTACATAAAAACTTCTTCTAATAAACAACCTTTGCATGTCTTATTGAAATAACAAGACATAAGATACTAAATTAAAACATTTATTGCATTATCTAATTACATATTTTTTTTTTTTATATTAATACTTGTTTATATCATTTTCAAATGAACAAGTTCAATAAAAAGACATGCTTCTATTATACCTATAACTTCTTCAATAATATTAAAAATACATGTGATATTAAGGCATTTTATTAACAGCTATTATAGTACATATTACCCCTGTAGTTTCCATGAATAATACAATTTATTATTAATATGCCCTGTGGTCATAGCATAGAATGGGTCACCCATTCCTTTCCTGCAAGTGTCATAAGAGGGGACTAACAAAACTTAATGGTCAAGAGATGGGCAGCAGCATCCCTCTTAACATCATCAAAAGCCTAACTGTGGTTACCAATCTGCTTGCCAAGCATAGCAACTTCTAGCAAAGCCCCTCCTTATGGGGAAAGTCTATTTTCAGCAATGGATAATTAACATCTGATATGATGGTGGTCATTATTATTTTATAGTAAACATTAAATGTATTTGTGTACATTATCGATGCCTTACCTTTTCTGATGAAACTCAGTAGCAGTAGTAAAGCCCATTGGAACAAGCTTTGATGCCTCAGCAAGTATTTTGTCAGCTTTTGCTTCTGAGATCCCCTTGATTGTTATAAGCCATTTCTTGGGAGCATATGCCACTGACTCTACAGTGTGGTAGCCGGCTTCTTCTAACTTTTTTATATCACCTGATGTAATTCCATTACCCTGTATTATGATAAAATATCAATTGATTAATTATCTATACTAATATTATAAAGAGATGGTACTGTTAGTAATGGGAATTAGGAATCCCATTGTCGGCAATATACCCTATGACTAAATTACTTTTAAACAACTAGACGGATTCGAATAAAATTTGGTACATATCCAAATTTAATACATAGGATACACCGATACATTGACAAAGTCGACAGATAAAACTAATTTTAAATACATAAACAAGTATTACAACCTCTAATTTAGTAATCAATTGCGGTCCACACTCGTCTAGATCTTCGTCCAATGAAGCAGTTGCAGCTGATGCCGTTGCCGTCATATTATGTTGTTATTTATCACCGGAACATCGAAGGAATCACAATCAAAACGTGGTATTCTAAAGTACAGAGAAGTTTTAATGATACGTGTAAATAAGAAATGTTAATTATTTGAAATAAAGATTTGAATAAATAAGTAACTAACTAACAAAACATTACCTGAATTTGTCTGACAGATTAAAATATTAGTGTTGGGCGTAATTAATATAATCGCTATATATATATATTTATAATCGATTTTTTTCGATAATAATAAAAAAAATATTTGAATAATGCAAAAAAATACTCAGCAGCTAACAGATGGTTACTAAATAATTCAATGTTTATATATAATCGTAACTATTAAATTATTGTGTATATTTTTTATTTTACTTGAAAATACCTTGTTGAAATCTTAATAATTTATTTATATAAGTTGTATATGATTTTATGTTAATACTTACTCTAATTCTTAAATTTATTTATTTAATACTTTTTTTTTAATATTCTATAAATATTAGCTTCTTCCTTTGCTTACGGCTACTCGAACCAAGGATTTTCTCAGGCTGGAAGCCTATGACATTTTACCTGCTTTACTATCCTATTTTTACGTCACTGAATGATATTTCTTTGTTAAGTTCTTAGGAATAAAAGCTGTTCTAAATATTATTACTTTTACATAAAAAAATACTAATATAAAAAAATATAAATAGACTTTACTGGCAAATACAGCCTATAGTAAATGATTACTGGTATTACTGGTAGTAATGAATCCTGGTATATTGTATCTGATATTGTGAAAAATCGTTTATTAAAATAATCGGATTGCCCATCATTACTAAGTGCAGTCTTTTGTACTTATTCTTTGCTGTCGCCCGCCAAAAACTATGTTTTATCTATACTCTTTAAACTAGTTTCTCTAATCTGTGACCTGCAACAATTGGAACGTCATTAATAAAATAACGTTTTACATGAAGCTATGTTACCGTCCTCAGCTAATATTAAGAAACAATATGTATTCCATTATGACAGATTATGGCCATCTTAACTAGGCGCTATAGCAGTCAGTTACTCAGTTATGGCTCCATTTTAAAAATAGCACCTCACAATAATTAATTTTTTTAAAGATCAAACGAATGTGTTTGATAAATTATGCAGTAATAAACAAAAATATAAATAAATTTGTAAGTAATGTGATATAATAAAAAGAATAAACGCCGTTTTTAGCACAATTTTCAATATGGTGAGTAAACAATAATTATCAATAAAACAGTTAAGTATAATTAAAATTTGCATGTGTAATTTAATTCATTAATTTACTCATTTATATCTTAATATTCTCTTAGATGAATAAAAGATAAAAAAAAAAACTAAAATCTATTACTGTTGTTTTTACTATGGCTCCTGTTATTTATCGATATAAACTAAAATTGAATTATTAGCAATGATATTTACAAAAATAAATGGTACTTAAAATTATGTATGAATAATTAATTAATTATGTATGTAATATGTGGATTCCCATTAAAATGTCACCTTTTAAAATACAAATAATGTTAGTTATATACAGTTATATGCAACTGTAATAATATTATAACTACAAATAGGACTAATTGTCTTATATGTATATAGGTACATAATGAATAGTTATTTTTTCAGATACTGTTTATTTCAGCATACCATATTATATAGCATAACACTTCCAATTTTTGTTTAATGCATAAAGCGGATTTGTATAACTCACTTGTTAAAAAATTCGATTGAAAATTTAAATAGAGCAAAATAAAGCGACTAAACATATTTGTATTGTATAGTCCAAGTTATTTGTAAAATTTGAATATTTTATATATTAAAATAGCTATGCTTTTTGAGACAACAGTCAATGTCGATATTTTGGATAGAGGCATATATAGACAGCAATACAACACTATAGATGTTCATTTATTTTTTTAATGTTCATTGCATTGTTACTTCGAAAAGGTTACATGTATGTCATTTTCCAGGTTTCATGGATATAAGACCGCTGCCAACTGTTATAACATGAGGTTGACAGATTCATTCGTGATTTCAAAAACGGAGGGAATTTGAACTGTTTTATTTGTATATATCTTTCCAGGATAATTGGACATTGTTTCTGATTATATTAAAATGAATGAAATGGAGGAAGTTTCTTTAGTGTTTGAGGGAGAAGTTTTTAAAGCTAGAAAAGATATGCTCTGCGAACATAGTGACTATTTTCGTGCTATGTTTAGTGGTAGTTATGTGGAAAACGAGCAACAGGAAATTAAAATTGACGTATGTATTTAATTTCCAATACTGTTTGTATTGCGTTAACAACAAAAAAAAAACATTACTAACAATAAAAAAAATCCAACAAATTCAAGATTACCCACAACTATCTTAATAATTAAAAAAAATTGTAAATAGATGATGTCTCTAAATTATTAATAAGAGCAGTAGAAGCCAAAATAATATTTTGATGTGGGTAATAACTTTTTTTTAATAAATCTTCCATTTAAATTACAGGTTGTTGATGCTAATTCAATGAAAATTATACTGAGCTATATGGAAATTCGTGTAATAGATCTATTTGAATTTTCTCTAAGTACATTAGCTGATTTAGCAGTTGCTGCAAATTTTTTACAAATTACAGAGCTTATTACACAAATTGAACATAGTCTAGAAAGTCAAATCAATATATCTAATTGGATGGAAATCATGATGATAGCAGAAAACTCTTTGTATGTAAAATTACACCAATTATCAGCTGCATTTGGTTTATTATCATTTAAAAATATGCAATCGGAGTATGTCCCATCTTTGCACAAATTGTATTGGTACCTCTCTCATCCATATTTAGACGTTAGTAGTGAACTTGATGTTTTTAAGTTTGGTTTGGAATGGATTTCAAATAATGAAACTGGTGCAGATGCTCTACTAATTACTCTTTGTTGTTTAGACATAGGAAAATTAAAAACAAATGATTTGAAAGAAATGAAAACACTAGTCAAAGATTATTCAGATAGTCTCGGCGCTAAAGTAATAGATTGTCTTCTTGAGCTGAGTAGTGGAGAATATGGTTTATGCATAACAGCTATAGAAAATCAGAAGGTAGTTTTATGTGAAATGTTTACAGAAAGAGTTTACAATGAAGTTATGAACTTAGTAAAGGACAGTAGGTCTCGAATAAACACCATTGAACCTATAGTGCCTGTGTGGGTGGTCAAAGACTCCAAATCGGATCTAGTACCTCACTTTTTGTACAAATTTTCGGAAGAAAAAGGATTTGAAAAATGGTTGGAAGTGGCAGAGAAGAATTTGTGGGGATGGCACATTGTGGCTTGGGGTTTGACAAAGTTGATAGTAATTTGCGGCGAACATGGACGTGGTACAGGCATGTTTATGAGAGATGTCAAAGTATATGACACTTTGAGGAAGGAATGGTCATGGCATGGTGTAGAACTACCTGCAAGGCGGCATGCGGGTGTTGCAGTTGTTGGGGATTCTATGTATATTATTGGAGGTGTAGGTGGGTTTAGGTCAGTTTTCTAGCTTTATTATATTCATAATCTGTTTGTCTTATTTGGTAAAAAACTATGAACACACAAATATTTAGAGGGATAAACATAGTTCATTCTCCCTATAAGGGAAGTATTGCCTAATATTACAATTACAAACCGCTGGGCTTGCTACTTGCTTCTTATTTTGAGTTTTCTTTTTGCTCTACCTGGTGTATTAAGCTTTGCTCTTTTAAATGCTTCTTATGGAACTTAAAGGGTAATAATGATATATGAACTATGATAAAAACTTAATAATTGATTAAAAAACCTTTTTATCTATGTTAATTTAATTAAATATTATTTTATTGAAAATATTAGCAAGTTTGTTTATCAAATAAGACATCTATTTATTAATAAATTTTATAATTTTGCTTGAAGCACCCATTTAATGTAACTGTAAAATTTTAATTTTATCCATTAATTCACAGGGTAGTGTTGGATACTGCAATCATTTATGATTTGAAAAAAAAAACTTTTAGGAATATAGCAAAACTTCCAGACTCAATACAAAATCCTGCTGTGTGTTCACACGACAATATGGTGTACGCTGCAGGCCACAAAGATATATATCGGTATGAGGAACAAGAAAATACTGATAGTTGGGTGAAAATAGCTAATGGTGATGTAAGAATGAGCTATATGATATCATATAAGAATTATATTTATTGTATGCAAAACTACTTTAGTCACTTGCACAGGTTTATGCCAGGCGTAGATGAGAAGTTACAGTTGATTACTTATTTTTCTAATCCACCATCAACTGCATGTAACTTAGGTAAGTGTATACAAGTGTATATATAAATATATATACTCCAGGAAGTATTTATCATCTTAATTTCAGCTATTAATTATTGTTCATTTATAGGCATAGATCAGCATGAGGGACGGTCCTATACAGGGTCGAATTAACCATTAGACAGTATAGGCCTGCGGACCCTATAGTTAAGGGCCCTGCGTTCCGACAAAATGTTTTTTTTTTGTAAAAGTTTCTTTAAGTCCAAATTACATTTGAAGATCTAATAAACACTCAAGCATAGATAATCTATAGCCTCGATTCAATTTTTTATCTGAACATGGGTACAAAATTATCTTAAATTTTAAATATCTCAATCATGCCTTTATGTTTCCGGCATATAAATTAATTGTAGTTCATTCATCATTTTTATATATCCAAGTCAAATATATATTAAATATAACATTAATCAAATAAACAATAAATATTACATTGCAAAAAAAAAAGATATATTTATATCACGTACTTATGTTATTTACGATGAAAATATTATTGGCTTGTTTATTATTATTTTTGTTTGTATTATGTTACCATTTTTCAGTACATTCATAACGTATTTCAATTATATATGTAAAAATAAATTGTAGCATTTCTTGGGAGACATTATATTTTCGTTTATATTTCATTTAAACCAAATTTCATTAAAAAGTTTCATACATGCAGAACTCAGCGGCGTAATCTTAAGTTATACATTGGCTAGTGGCCCAACATGTTTAATTCGGCCCTGGTCCTATACCACTCATATTTATTGACTCTCTGCAATACTGTAGTTTGTATTTGTCTAGTTGGACGTCTCTTTAAACTATTTTTGCCTGGTTGTTGCCCATAGCAAACTTATCTTGCTAATCAGTTGTTAGTACTTTTAAGAATAATCTGCCCATTGCTATTTTATTTACCACTTTGGTTCTTTTGCGAAATTCCTTATTATTCTTAGTAAATACAAGTAACTTACTATATTCCTATAACCTCTGATACTTTAAACATGACATTTAATGAGCCGGCATAGTTCGTCTCTGTGTTCGCTCAGGGTGGTGGGTTCACATGTTGTGCTATAATCAAAAAAGGTCATATATTTTACACGTTTTATTTAACACTTTGTACGCTAAGCTATAAATATATAAATATTTGTATTTCCGTACGAGTCGTGTCGGGCAATGCTGCTATTCTATTTTATATACTGAAAAAAAAAATCAATTTTGGACATTTTTTAATTTATTACATGGCCCGTTGCTAAAGTTTACAACATCGTCCGATACGTCGTTAATGCTGACATTGCCATCACCAATAATAATAATAGTGATAACGAATTATATGTATTTTCTTCATAAATAAGGTTTCCAATTCGGTTGGGTTTTTTTATGTTTTTTTTATACCACTGAGGTGGCAAACAAGCATACAGCCCACCTGGTGGTAAGCGGTTACCGTAGCCTATGAACGCCTGCAATTCCAGAGGTATTACACGCGCGTTGCCCTCCCTGAAGAAACCCCCCAAAAAAGACCCCTCCTTTTGAAGAACCTCATGCTGTAGTTGTTGTAAACTGATTTGGAAAATTCTTTGTTTTATCTGCAAGGATATACTTACAGATTTATCTTATAGAAATGTTATCAAAATCAGTGAGTAGTTTTGTTTTTAAATCAAAATAACTGGTTTTTCCACAATTGATGTCGGTTTTTTTGTGGGGCACAATTTATTTATAATTAATTGTCAATTTATATATTTTTTTAGGAAATCGCCTTGTGGTTTTCACTAGGACTATGTGCGGACTAACAGACATTCTTACTGTAGAGGAATACACAGGTCAAAGTGATGAAGAAAAGCCTAAACTTATTTGGTCGCAGTCAGAACCAGTGATGGTTGTGAATGACGTAGCTGGTTCATGTTCTTTAGTTTTGTCCATTCCACCTCTCGATGTACCTACACCATCACACCATAAACGCTATTTGGGAAGATATAATGAATAATATATTTTTTCAAAGTAAAAGAAGTTTGTATGTATGTAAAATTTAATTTTGGTGCTAAGGTGAAGGTACAAATCTATTAATATATATAACTACTGCCCGCCCCCTTTCACAAAAATGTAATAATGAAGAAACAAAGACCAAACATTCCTTCTCAGTCGCTTTTTTTTATAAGTTTTTATTTTATTAATGCATATTTTTGATTTTTTTGACCTCATTATGAAATAATGTGATTACAAAAGGCAAATAATTTTTATTTTTATAGATTCTATTATTAATAATTGTGTAATATAATTTAAACCAATCTTAGATGAATATTAAAAATAATTTGAAGAATTTTATTCAAGTATTTTTATTTCTAGATGGTACTGGCATTAGTCTGGCGTAGGCAGAAACTGTATTTTTAAATTAACATTTCCCACTTTTAAATTGGGATAAACCCATTTATATTCATCTGTAAGGTAAAACGGAACATAAAATCACCAATTTTAATGAGCTTTATTATATTTTAATAGCATTGTTTTTATGATTTGCTTTCAATAAATTTGCAAGTGTAATCTTTACTAATATAAATGAGTTTGTTATTTCTTGACTAACGACTTGACTAATAGTCACGAGAACATGGAGATTGGATTGGAGACGTATATAGGCTACTACTATGTAGTACCAATCAATATTTCCCACACTATTTATAAATAAATAATTATCAATTTCATTAAATACGTTTTTCATTAAATATCTAATCAATCTTTATAGTAGTTTAAAACTATTGTCATAATAAAAAGGCCTTCATAAATTGTTATTAATTTACATTTATTTGGACATTAATTTACAATACGACACTAAATTATCCATATAAATGTACATACAATTTGTACAATAAATCTACAGTAAAATAAGGCAAAACTTTGTTAATACAATACAATTTTAATCACTAAACTTAAACAAACAAGACAGCATTTTATGCGAACTCAATGAGACTAGTAGTCCACGATAATAAAATACATTATTTTTCATTTATAAAGTTACGTATACAAGAATAAGATGTTCTAAAGCCGCAAATTTGATAGATTCATTTTATTGGCGTTAAAATAAACGAAACATGCTTAACTAATATTATTTACAATGTCATGTGTAAAATATAGTATTATTCTGTAAAGATTAAGGCCACTCAATGTTTATTTTCTAGTATGGTTTTCCATATAAGCACCCATCTTGTGAATTTCACACTTGACTGATTTCATAAGATCAACAAATAATACCCTATGTTGGCTACTCTGCAAGAGTATAGAGATAATCACAAAGTCTGACGTACATTCAATTTTGTATTTATTTTTTAATATCGACAGTTTTTAAATATATAATGTTGGAGGTAGCGAATGAGCTGACTGCTCACCTAGTCGTAATGTAACCATCGTCAATAGGTAAATATGAATAATGCTGTTTATAGCACCACATACAAATTTGTCGAATAGTACCTTTCGAGATGAGTGTCTCATGTATTTTTGTAGGAAGGCCCTAAATTGGTCTTTGTAAATCAGATCTGTCAGATGTGATATTCCATTTCTTATAATGGCACTTCTCACTTAATACAGTCAAGTGAAAAAATACATTAATCTATTAAATATTATAAAAATTATAACTTACAATTCTATCAAAAGCTTTTACCGTCGCATATATATTTACTGCTTTACTCCTAACATGGAAGCAGCATTAATGTTTATTCATATTATAATTATTTGGCTTTTACACAGTTATTGGAAGCTCTATATTTAAAATTCGTGTAAATGACGTCAGAAAATTAAATATCCCAGTACAATATAGAAATAACTTAGTTAAAAACAATAACTCGTTATATAGCTTATTTAATTTCAATAAAAATATTTATTATCTACTCCTAACGTGGGGATTTCAATCAACCATACCTATTAAAGGCACACATCATAAGCCCCTATTAATATTTCATGCTATATTAGATATATGAAATATAATAAATCTGCATTAGAATTTTTAGAAGCTAATACAAATTGTTTATTAAATAATATATTTTAATTGTATAAACATATGCTTTATAATAATGGTATTGATTCAATTGTATTTTATTTAATTTAGATTTTCATTTCGATATATTTCAATGTCCATCGGAATTGACACTATGTCCATCAACAGCTTGATTCCATGAACATTCCATAGAATCTAGTAATATTCAACTTTACGTCCAGCCGCCGGTGAGTTTGTGGAAAAGTTCTTCGTTCAACGTCTGATTTGCGTCCTTGGAACGCATCGACAAGAATATATAGCCACCAATGAACTCGTGCACCACTTTGCAGTCTGCTGATTGCACTGAGAATATGATGTTGCCCTCTTCAAACTGCACCATCATGTGTTTGATCTCCCAGTTTACGTTCCATGCCTGGAAATAATAAGTATTATTCTAAGATTTCGGTACTGAAACATTTCTTTTTATTTAATCTGTTAGATACATTCTCTTTGCTCTTTAGACGACATAAAAAACTTAGTCATTTAAAAACTAATAAACACAAAATTAGGAATTAAAAATACCCGTGTAAAATAAAATAAAAGGTGAAATTGACATGCACATATAATATGTATGGAGTTATAAGAATGGGTGAAACAAGAAAAGTGTGTTAGGCCACAAGTCTTTATTAATTGGTTATCTGCCTACACCAAAAAGGAACTTGCTGTAAAAATACAATAATGAATAATTTCACTCTATCTATTCATAAGTATGCGTCTCGATATGTTCAGTTAAAATTAGTTCCGATGCATCCCAGATCACATATCAAGTTAGTTACAATTTTAAAGATGGTTTCAAAAATGTATCAAATCTAGATTTAAGTCCGAGCTTTACCTTCATTGTACTGAACCTCCAAGTCTTGATGTGGTCTCCAGTGTTGGGATCGAGCCTCATTATGCGATTATTCGTGATGCTTATGATCTCGTCTTTACGGTGCCCCATGAAGCGAACAACGAACAGTGTTTGTCCATAATCAGGCAGATTCTGCCATGTTTTGATATACTGTAGTTTGGCCTCCAGGAGTGGAAGGTCCTTCACGTTGGCGTGGCTCTCCAAAATGCGCTGGGTGAACTATAAAAAAAGAGTATTTATTTGTTATTGAACAAAGAAAATACAAGGTAATTCGTAATGTATGTTATTGAAAAATACAACAATAGTGCGTATTATTAAAAGCAAATATTTGCTGCAGGAAACTGTTATCCATTATAGGATATCTAGAAAAGATGTTGTTTTCTGCGTAACTTACTTAAACTATAGTCTTATTAGCTATCCACCCCAGATTTTCATGGAAAGATAGGTGTCTATTTTTTTTTTTTTAATATAATACAGCCCATTTATTGGCTGATTGTATAACATTATAAAGTTCAGATTTACAGTATGTAGTACTAATAAAAAACTGCTAGTACCTTTCCCTTGAGCTTCTTAAGGAATCTGGGCGCGAGGTAGTTGTCCGGCTGCACGTGGTCGAGGTGCGGCAGGTTGTGCTGCGCGATGGCCGCCGCCGGCTGCGGCCGCTGCAGCGCCAGCAGCGACCGCACCGCCGCCGCCTCCGACGCGAACGCCGCGTCCGCCAGCGAGCGTCCGCGCGAGCCCAGCCGACACGCGGCTACCCACTCCGCGTACTGGTCCTCCTGTACATATCAATAAATAATAATACCATTGGAAGGACATATTTTTTTATTGATGATAATGGAATGGTAATCCCGCCTCAGCTATCGGTATACACTGGTGAGTTACCAGTGAGGGATGATAGGTGAGGATGAAGCAGGTCAGTTAGTCCACCGTGACGAATCTAACATTTAATGTCAGATTTATTCGATCGCAACGGCTTTCAGGGGACTTCAGGAGCGACGTCGATCTGGCAGGGTGCATTACTAGCAATGGGGCTACTAATACTCATGACTAACAATCCTTTCTCCCTCTGGACGGACATATTACACAGCGCCATGTAGTGCCAAACTTAGTAAAACTTATACTATGAGTAATTGAAAAGAGAAAGAAACAAAATATTTCAAGCCAAAACAATACTTTTTAATATTTTTGTGTATATGTTTGTTCCGGAAAGAAAAACCACTATATTAAATGCGATTTCCTTAGTCGTATTCCGGAAGATGTGACTTAGTCTGTGATTTATGTTTTATCATATCCAAAATAAAAGAAAAGCTAATCATAAATAAAAATGTTTATACTCGTAAGTATACTCACATTTTCACACTTTAGCCACATCTCGTGCATGGCTTCATCTGATGGCACTTCCAGTTTGATGCTGTACCTCCCGGATGCTGGGTGGGCGTCGGGTGTTACCTATAACGAAAATAAACTTTTTCATTTACTTTATTTTTTATTTCTTCGTTACAATGTTATAATTAATTCTGATAATGTTTACAATTTGAAATGTAATTAGTTTTGAGTGAATATGTTGTAAATAGATACAACATAAATTCGAAAAAAATCACGAAATAAACTTTTCACGTAATTACGTTTTAAACGTTTATTTCTTAAATATTATGTTATAAAATAATCAGAAATATTTTGTACAACAATTAGTATAAAAAAATATCTAATTTAATTCAAATAAAGTTCTAAACATCTACGAATTGGATTTAAATTTATAAAGACATTAATTCTTGCTATTTTTGCTATTTTATTCCATATTAATTCAGACTATTACAGACAGTACTCTGTTATGGTCTGAATTTTTTTTTATACAACTTAGATTGGCAAACAAGCTGACGGCCCACCTGATGGAAAGTGGTAACTGTCGCTTATAGACATGAGCAGTACATGGACATAACAGAGTATACTGTTTCGCCCATGATACCCCCCATTTGCCATTGCCATTCCTGAGGAATCAGGTGGTATTCCTCTGTACCCAGAAAATTCACGCCATATCCCACCTTTCAAACCGAAACACAGCCATGCAAACACAACTGCTTCACGGTTTAAACACGAATGGGACAGAGGTACCCAAGCAATCGATTTTTGTACAAAGTCTCCCTCTGGTAATAAATTTATAATACTGTCTATCCAAGAGGATTATTTTTAATGGCATGTCATTTATACGTCACTAGTAACTTGCTCCAACTTCGCAGGGGTAAATAGACAGAAGGTCACTATGTCTTTTTTAAATGAAATACATCTCACGTTTCTATAGGTGAAAGAATTTTAAAAATTGGTTAAGATTTTATTCAGTTTCTCCTTTACAAACAAATAATCATATCTTTCCTCTTTATCTTTCCTATTAATTTAGAAATGATATAAGTACATACCTCAGCACCCCTCAGTTCGACCGAGTACGAAGGGGCTTCGCCCTTGCCCGCAGCTTCGCGGGACGAGTGAATGCGGAGCATCCCGTCGCGACATGATATCCATCCGCGCTTGTATGCTTTCAGTGTGAACCGTTTGGGCCTGGAAAACATAAAGACTCCTCTTTAGTAAAGTTATATGAGAAGTAGGTGATTGATAATTTTTTTTAACAGACACTGTGGAAAAGTTAGAAAAATGAGTCACCTAACGATACCTAGAGTCACTATGCATGAAAGTAAATAAATTTTTCAAAGAATATAGTTATAATACTTGAATTTTTACATACAAATCGCGCAGGCATTTACAATTTCATAATAAAAATTCAATTTTCTAATTTTACATTTTGACTTGCAAAATAGCTAATGTTTAAAAAACACAATAAAAATAATTTCATTACTACTGGGTTCTGGAATGTTACGAACCGTTACATTCTATGAATAATAATTACTATTATAATAAAGTGATATATAGCAGAAAGTATAATTATCATTAATACATAATAAATATATTACAAATGTAAATAATGCACTGTTTATCAGTTAATGGATATTATTTATATCATAATATATAATTGAAATATGTATTATTTATTTTAAGATGTTATCTCGTTTGCCTGTCCTAGGCAAAGTATATATACCATTATTGTGATGTTTATATATACATATATCATACATAAATTATAAAATAATTATTGTATGATTCATTACACTGTGCACATACATATAAATAAAACCGAACGTATTTACAATTATTTATGTTATATATACATACTGCCTTATAAGACATATTGGTATAGTGATTATTAGTGGCCAGTTTTAATAAAATAGAATAAATTTCAGTAAATTATAAAACATAGTATTGTTTTTGGTACAGAATCCGTTTATAAGTATAAGAAAATAAAAAAAAAAATTACCAATAGCCTTCTTTCAGTGAAGCGATAAAAAAATTCGCAGTTAAAATATTAGTTAATAAAAAAAGGATATAATAGGATAATATTATAAAAATAACAATAAACTTATTATTAGATACGATACATTGGAATAAAAAATTAGGGGAATACTTTTATATTATTAAGTAGTTTCATAAATAGTCCGAATTTTAATCACATTAAAGCTGTACGTAGTTATGTCTTCAGTATATTAAATATATTGAAGAAGAGATATCTATGAATTGAGTTTAAAATGGGAGGATTCTTACCATTCCTATTTATAATGACGAGGTAATGACAAACCCACATAAAATTTTTATTCTTTTCTTTTTTATTGAAATAAACAAAATCAATATGCAAAATATATTTAATTATTTTAAATTTCAAATAAGAAGTAGGTGTCGCTCCAAAGGAGAAAGAGGAGATTCAAGTTACAAAAAAAAACACAAGTAATTAATGGATATTCCCTAAATCAATCATCATTTATAATAATCAATAAAATAACCATAATCTAGATTTAGAATTCGGACTATATAAATGTTAATGTAATATACAATAAATTAGTGCATTGAAACTGTACATGGCGTGCTGTCAGTGTTATGTCGTAAACTACATTGTAGGCAAACTAATAAATTAATTAAATTGTAGGGTCGGGGTTGTAAAAACGAGTCTTACGCGATGGTACAGTAATCGTTGTTACACTTGCTGGCGCGCCCCACGTACATTCACGGAAAGAAAGACAATACTTTGTAATAATAATGTTGGCGTTTTACAATTAAATTAATTACAGCTACTAACACTAAGCACTAGATATAATTCTATACTATCTATATACTAGCACAAGATGTAATTCTGTCTTATTCTAATATATGTAAGTTAACTTAGAGAACGAAGTATGGGCTACAGCGTCCCTTTTAAAACATTACCAAAACTTAATTGCTGTTGCCAACTTACAAAGTGTGGCAACTATTGGCAAAATCCCCATTATGGGGATGGCCTATGTTCAGCAGTGGACAGTTAACGGCTGATATGAATGAATATAAATAAGTGTTAGTTGTTTTTAATTTATAACATAGAGTGTACAAATACTTCAATCTATAGTATATTGATACTTTAAGGAATAGACAGAGTAATTTGTGAGTGACAGAGTCGCTTTTAAGCTGTATATCAAAAGTGAAAGGATAAAATTAAATTAAGGAAATAAAAAAGTTACTACAATAAAAAAAAGGCACGCTCATGGCTATTCCTCAGGATCTAACCAGATCAGTCATATTTATTTAAAGTTATTATCATTATTGCTTGTCAAGTGTACAGTTTTATGTAGACAAAGTATTTGAATATATCTCTATGTGGTCCTAATTAATTATTTTTATATAATATTTATATACTAAAAATAGGAAACATAATGAAATAAAATACTAACAGTATAGTATAATAGTGCGCCACCTACCCTTTGTCTTTTTCTCAATGTTCTCTACCTAAAGGTTGTCTGGAAGAGATTGCTTATCGTTAAGGCCACCTTTTGTATCACTTCTCATTAATATTTACTGTATTATTTTTTGATTTGATGCAATAAAGTGTAAAATAAATAAATAACAGGGGGAAAAATAGGAATATTAAGTAAATAATTGGGTACCCATAAATAATGGAAAATTTGATTTATCCTAAAATGACCACAATTTAATTAGAAAACGATATAAGTGCGGTATATTGTTAATACATTAAATATTAAGTTTCCTGTTCTTGTTGTATAGGTACTTGCTGAAAAATACCAATACCTAATTGGTATATAATACTATATATAGGATAGAAGAATGTAGACTTATCATACTGTCATTATTAGTCGATAAATGAATATTAGAATAAATATAAAAATGATTAATGGTGCCTGGTATTTTTCTTATTATGCTACAAGTAGATCATGTTTCACAAAAAAAAAAAAAACAACTTAATTGTGAGAAAATCTGTTATTTTGATTTCACTAATGAGCCGATTTTAATAAAAATTTTATAGGACCAATCTGAGAGTACATTCTTTCAGATATTAAGACCTCCCTACCCTTATCCAAATAACATAAATTTTGGGGTCATCATAATATGTTTTTATGCATATGATTCAAGGTTTTGGCTTTTGTTTACACGACTAGCCACCTGCCTGACGTCAACCCTCCTTGGCACATAGAATAGCCAGACAGGATTGATTTATTTATTTACTAGCTGTTCCCTGCGTTTTTTGTACGAATCAGTATACATACGTGAATAAAGTATCACATATGTTAAATTAGGATATATGACCTACCTGTGTGTAAAATTTTATATTTTGTTTAAATCAAAACAACCAAATATATTTATAAACGTTCACATTTATAATATTGTTGATATCCTTTCATATTTGTGATTAGATAGTAGATACTCGAGATAAGTTGGACATAGATAGCGCAACACAAACACTGGGTGGCAATTCGATTCAGTATAATTCGTTTTTAGTAATAAAAAAATATTAGCAGTATTCATCATCATCATCATCACCATCATCTCTCTCTCCTCTTTTATATATATATATATATATATATATATATATATATATAAAGTTGTTTTTGGTAATTGACAGATAATTGCGATATTGCCACCCTACGGTGAGTAAATGTTATGAAACGCTCTTCTTAATTTGATTGTCGGAAGTGTCAACGCTTGCCTTTAGAATTTAGATATATGCGACGGTTGTACTGGTTGGTTAGTAGTGTCTATTCCTTTCCAATTTCCAGTGATAATAAAAGCTTTAAAAAAGTCTAGTATTTTATTCAAATTAAAATCATCTTTATTCAAATAGACTTATTTACAAGCATTTTTTAATCGTCCTTTTTATAAATGCAGGGTTCGCATATATGCATGCAATACCTGTTGCAAAGTCCGCAAGAAACTCAACAGTTACTCTTTTAAATATCTGTTAACATTATGTGTATTCATTTAAACTTGAGTTTGCGTTATTGAAATGGGAGTGATGACCAAATTTTGAACAATCATAATGATTTTGACGATTATATTTTTAATTGAAAGGGTTATCCCGCGTTTAGTACCATACCAATTTTGACAAGATTTCAATAGGTTTTTTGGGTAACAAAAAATTAACAAGCAAGATTTTGCTATACACAAAAAAGGTATTTGCACATCGAGATAAAACAACGTAATCCCATCAATTGCAAACATTATCATTAAAATCGACACACAATTCGCAAATATATAGTGTAATACCTAAAAAAAATAACTAATTTTAACAACCAATTATTGTAAGTAGCAATTTCATTAATAAAAATTTCATAGACATCTCAACATACCTAAGATATTTCAAGTATCCGGCGAGCTCCGGTACGTGAGTGATGTCCGGGCGGGCCGGGGGGCCGCCCTCCAGGTGCGCCTGCAGTTCGCTCAGGGCCGCATCGATCTCGTCCTCGGGCGCCGCCCCCGGCGTCGGCTGGGACCCGTCGGCGGCGTCTATGCCCCCACCGGCCAGGGTTTGTAGCTCGATTTGCAACTATAATAAATATTTTATATATTAAATATATTTTATTTATATATTATTATTTTTTACTCACGACTTCGTCTGTGTAACTGAGATAAAGAGTAATTCTATGTTCATATAATACTGTTGCTAAAATACTAGTTGTATATTAAATATTTCAATAAATTCCTTTAAATAATGAAGGACGCTAACTTGCAAACTGTTTAGCTCTAATTATAAGATAATCGCCATATGGTCTTAGCATAGAATGGGCCGAAGATCGTCCCTCGTCTGTCCAAACTTCTAAGCTTTACAAACCTGTAACGCTGCAAACAGAAGCATCTCCTCCTCGGTACAGTGGACCTCCTGGTTAAGAATTTGCCAACGCGCCTGTTGGTACAGTTGGTTCAGTCTGGATGCGTCCTGCTGGCGCGCAGTTAAATCGTAGAACGAATAGAACTTGAATCTCAGCTGGAGTACGTCCCATTCACGGACATATTGCTCCATGATTGAGAGTGATGAGTCCAACCACCTTTAAAAAAAATAAAAAATTGTGAACACTGGCTGTTCATTATACACACAAATCAGAACGGTTATATTTTACTACGGCTGATAAAAAAAAAAAAAAACAAGGGACCGTTAGATAGAATGTTCACGTCTATATGCTAGAAGTATCACTTGTCTTTCTTCAATCTTTGTGATATGAAGATCTCCAGTGACAGTAGCTAGTACTTTCACTGTCTTATCTCATAATACAACTGGAACACAGTATGCAGGCTGAGTAAGTAAGAAAAGATAAACATACTTATGTGTGTGATACCAATTTTATGGGGAAGTGTTTTAGAATGGTAACATGAGATTAAGTAATATTATCACAAGAAGAAGAACAATAAATCTCACTATTCCCTACGAATGTTATAAATCATTCGAAAACCACTTACCCAACATTCATCCTTGCCCGTTCCACGAGCGACTTAGGAGTTAGCAGGGAATCACGTGACTGGCTGGCGGGCTCTAGAGGGGAGTCTGCCAAAGAGTCGAGCGCGTCGAGGGAGGACGCTCGTGGTGGAGTACCGCAGTAGCCACCGTCGCTGGAACCGTCGCTTTGCGTGCTGTATATGTGGCCGCCATACCGACGGAGTGTGCCGTTCTGTGAAAGTAAAAGACGAAATATAGACTAAGTCTGAAAAGGTATATAAATTCGATGTTCAATGATAATATAAATGTATATAAACTAATAATCTTACAAATGTGAAACTTCGTAAAGATCTTTGTTAATTACAGCTGCATAGTTGAATGGTTCTGAAATTTGGTATATGGACGGACTATGTCCTAGTAATTAAAGTGTACAATTTAACTCACGCAAAGGTGCGAGTTACAACTAGTATCGAAACATATTGTAGCCAAGAGGTCAAACAATATATAATATTTTAATGGGTAAATATGGGTTAGTATATTACGCTATTTGTTTACACTGGCTGAGCACCAGAGCAGAGGATAAAGAAAACAAAATTGAGGAACCAATATTCATACAAGAATGGACATTCTTTATTTAAAATCTCATGCAAGAGAAGGGAACTTTCCTTACCAAATCTCGCCTAAAGCCAAGGAAGGTTGCAAGGGAGGTGGCAACATGAACGTCCCCTATGATAATTCCCAAAAAGGTTTTAAGCTGAGAAGTGACTTACTTGTTGTGAAGCCACAGGAGTAGCGGATAACGAACGAGGCGGGGGCGGCGTCGCAGGACACGGCCCGTTGGATCTGTCCAGGCTATTGGAGGAGCCCCTCGTGGCTGCTATGAACGTGTTCGTGTCAGGTTGACTTGACTTTATCCGCTTCGCTTCTTTTAAGTTTTGGTAGTTTTGTTTTAGATGCGACGGCTCTAATGGATAGCACAGTGACAATTCTTCTGGATGTCTTATACCTAGAAGAGAAGATCGTCTTTTAAGTTCATAGAATTTTGAAGCATTTATAGATTAGATAACAATTTTAAATAAATCTAAAAAGATAATTTTCTGCATTTGAGGGCATTTTTCTCAAACATAAATTACGCGATATTTTTTTCGATTGCAAATCTAATTATTAAACTACAGCGAAACAAATAAATGTGCATAATTTAAAGGTTGTATTGACGTATTTAAATTCAAAGTTGTCGGATTACTTTAGGACTCGACAGGAAGGGTTCCTGTGCAAGATTCATGTGCATTGCTCATGATTAAAAAGACACAGAGTCAATATGCATATTTTTACATTAATTTCGGTTACATGTAAATCCGAAACTAGTTGGGCATTTCCGAAGTTTATTACGTAAAACCAATGTTGGGTACCAGATAGGATCCAGATGGGGTAGACAGATGCAAATTACTATTAGGGTAGTAAACACAAGTAAAGGTCACTCACCGAGACTTTTGCAAAGTTGTACGACGGCACTGAACGTGTCTATGGAGAAGTCTATCTTGCAATCGATGTATCTTAGGTCTGGCAGCTGAATCCTGATGGGCTTGTGCATGGGCGTGAAGTGGAGAGCGGCATCGGCGTGTACCGAGTACTGGTCGAGGGTGTGCTTCGGTCTTGATAGCCATTTGTTGCGCGTAGGCCACCAGAGCGCGTGATCTGACCAGTCTTTCTTGAAATCTAGGAAAATAAATAAATTAATATGTAGTAATCATTTTAGAAATAAATATAATATTATTAATGGACAAGAATAAGTAATAACGGATGATGTTATTTTGTATGGATTGAAGTGTTGGCCAGAAAAGATGACAAACGAAAGATGTTCGCATATAGTCGAGATATGTAGACGAGGTTTTAAAATAAAAAAAATGTCTGTAGACATTGAAACAATTGGTATGATAAACATAAAATTCATTTATAATTAGAAGTACAACAGTAGATATAAATTTAAATTATGATAGGTGCTTCTTAAAGAACAAGGTTGTTATAATTTTTCCAAGACAGAAGATTAAAAAAATGGTTTTTTTTTGTGATAATTGCTTATTCACTAAGGTTTTTTTTTAACAAAGATGGAAGATTATCGTATTAAAATAAAAGAAAAAAAGCTACAACTAAATTATAAAAACCCATGGTCACGTGATTGTCATTAACTACAAATAAAAATCTTATCATCCGGTTGCTCTTGAAAAAAGTTAATAAAAAGAGCGCGGAGATAACTCTGCTGACGTCACGACGGTCGACTAACTTGGCATGATCTCTGAGATGGTTCATACCGACATCTGGGAACGTATGACTTTTCTGTCAATTTAAACATACGATCAATTTAATCACTTAAATACATTTTAAATAGCGAACTTAAAGCATCAATCATAGAGATATCCAGTTATACAGAATCATTTATGTGCTATTTGCATATAAATCTCCCAAGATTTTTTTTTTTTTATTTCCAAATATGTTGTTATCATCAAACTCCAAAATTTCAGTGAGCTGCATAAAAATCTTATAACATAGTATAAATATTGAATACTGTTTGTTATTTAAAATGGGGTGATGTTTCAAACGTTGCCAGACTTCGGTTCAAATAATTTTTACTCGTTTATGACGTCTGGTCTGCAGACAGCGATAGCGTAGTTCAAAATACGATGGTTGTCTTCGCTACTGAGTATCCGCTATGAGTCACATCTGGTTGGGGGGAAATTATTGGAGAGACTGTAACATCTAATTACAAAGCGTGAGTCACAATGGTGTTAGAAAAATCTGCTACATTAAATATACTTTGATATTGCAGGGACGTATTTTGTTTCTCTGACTCAGAATGACTAATTGAAACGAGTGGTTTATCGTATTTATTTAAAATAAATATTATTATAATTTGAGTATGTATTTACATAGATATTTGTCATTTAAATACGCTTAAATTGCAGAAATCAAAATCTTCTTCTTTTCAATATTAAACAAGTCTTATTTTTTAGAGAAAAAAAAATATAGCTAATAGAAGACATCGGTGTTAGTTATCTGAATAAAGTTTTCTTTATCAATTATTAAACATTAAAATATAAAGTCTCCTCTCATCAAGAATAAAAAGAGGTTCAATTAAAGAATCTCACGCAATCAATTTGTCTCCATATTTTTTTTTATTTTATTTTATTAATAATGCCACCAATCTCTATATTTATAGCTGCGAAATTTAACTAGAGGAAGTTGCTATTACTCATATCACTTTCTTTATTACACGATAAAGGTAACGAATTACGGGTATGAATTAAACAGTTCGATAATACGATATCGGTGAAAGTTTGTCAACTACCGGTGTAATGTACGAATAAACTTTCCTTTTTGTATTATCATAGAATAGATATTATAACGGAGAGCCATTAATAAAACTGTCATTGTCAAACACGGTCCGAACCAAATAGAACGAACGTATGAATTCTAAGAAAAAAACGAGCGATAAAAAACTTTCACAACAAAACATTATCACGACCACCAACATCGGAAATGTTTAATGGACACCGTTTGAAACTGCTTCATTGCTGTTTTACTGCCAATCGTAAAATGTAGAGGCAATCTGATTGACAATTGTCTAGTTTATGAGAGATACTAGGTACACGATTAGCTGTAATGCTTTCGCGTTGCATAAACTATTTGTTTTCCCATAGTTTAAGAAAATATTAAATTTTGTAAGACTTGTTTTCAATTTTCAAGCGGATTCAAAAAGAAGGCATTTTTCAATTCGGTTGTTAGTACTTCGTCAGTTATAAACGGATTTGGAAAATTATTTTTTTATCTGAAAGGTCGAAACTGTATACTTACAGTTTCGACCAATAAAAAAATTATACAAATCGATTGAGTAGTTTATTTTTTAAATCAAAATAACTGGCCTTGCCACAATTGATAAAAACTCGATCTTAATTATTTCACATTTAGACTGTTTTTCCTATGTTATGTTCTCTGTAGTGGTGTTCCGTTGTCTTATATTTACAATTATGTTCTCATTCATCTACTGTTTTATTCAAACAACCATAATCACACTTACAGATAATTCCATCTCCTACAATCAAGATCAAATTATCACTTATGAATATACCTATCCACTTGAGATTTCGTTCACGTGAAACTTTTGATAATTTCGTATTACGTTACATAATTGCCTGTATTTGTTGTTGTTATTTGTTAACAAGGTATTCCTTGCGCCACTTGCCCACTTTTAACTTTATTTTTATGCCAAATAAATAAAGTCAGTGATAGTATTCATAAAATTGAAAAAAATTCGTCAGTTCGCCCATTAAAATTAAATAAATCGTTTTAGAATGTTTCGTTTGACCCTGTGTGTTACGTGGTAATAGCAAAATGAGATTTTAAAAACTTTAAACTATATACAGAGTTTAGAATTATAATGGAACAGAGTGAAATACGCGATGAACTAGCAATAGCGGGAGCGGGGGTTCTATTGGTAGTGACGGAAGCATTTGGGACAACAAACATTAACTTATTGATTAAACATTACTTAATGTATAGACAGAAAACTAGTGAGAGTCATTACATAATGAATAAGCTAAATATCGAACTAGTTGTTAGACAATATTAATAGCTAGCTATTGTTGCCAGGATAAAATATTTCAAAAGCCCTGATTAAGGGGTTTTCAGAAAATTACTCCAAAAATTTATTCTTTTGAGTAAAAATAATGTGTGTATTAACAAGGGCTCTCACTGGACACTGTAAACTAAACAAGCACATGAATCAACTAGGCTTATGCCCAGATTGCAGATTTTGTCACATTAAGGAAGAAACGCCGCAGCACTTAATTTGTGGCCGCAGCACTTAATCTTCTTTGGAAAATACACTTTATATCCTGAGGAGATAAAAAACATCGCTACAAAAAAGCATTTTACAATTTATATCATTGATAGGAATTAGCAGCGAACTTTAAAAAAAGGCGAGTACAAAAGAACATGGAAAGGTCGCAATCACAGGTTTTTCTGGCTGGAAAAAGCCCGTCTTTCGATAATAATGATAAGAAATAATAAGCTAATACTCGTATGTAATACGTGTGGCGTCACTTACGAGTAAAATAAATGGTTTTTTTTTTTCGTCTTTTAAAATCCCTATCTCAGTAGACCGTTTTAATACAAGCAGATATCACGTTCACATGTCAAAAGTTTGACAATTCTTTCTTTGGTGTTTTGTTTGTTTAGAGTCGTGCATGTTTTTCTCAAGATGTGGGATTACTTCGCAAGCATAAAACTTCGGGGGTCCCTTACGCAAGCTCTCCAATCCATGCAACTCGCGTAGGAGAAGTGTTGAATGAAATAGTTTGTGATGCGTGGAGTTCTCTTAGTGTGCTATTCACGTACGTGACGAAATACGTACACCGACTGACTGAAAACATCCTCTTTTAATAATCAATCTATCGACTTGAATATCAATCGAATTGCATTAATATTAATACATAATCTCTATAGATAATTATATATCTTTTAATATAGTCAACACGTAATCATGTACACCATGCCAGTTGTCATTCTAAAACAAAGAGAAACATGTCAAATGTGAATCAGATTTCCATGTGATAATATGATTAAACTATATATATATATATATATATATATATATATCTATGTATAAGTTAAGACTACTCCGCAGAAAAATAGCTACTTCATTCATGTTAAACACAATACAGAACCAAACTAGGAAGCAAATCCTATTAATTGCAAAGAGAATTAATATTATTATATAGATTCTAAAGTAGCGCCAGTGACAGAGAAATTAAGTACCTAATCGTTTGTCTTGGTATGGACATGAGATACGGAAAGATGAAGATAATGTTTTAAAAAGAGTATTAAGTATGAATGTAGATATATAATTAATTTGCATTAGTTACAGCACATAAATAACAACAGGCATACACAGTAAAAACAGGTAAAAGAATTAATATAAAAAAGCAAAATATATAAAAAAAGTAACAGTTTATTTTTTTGCCCTCAAAAGAGCAAAACACTGATATTTTGTTGCGGCCAAGCGTTAGTCGCGAAATTCCTTAATAAAACAATGAAATAAATATGAATAAAGTACATTGTTTGTGTTCATTACATTCGCTACTATTTAATAGTATATATGTAGATGATTATAAGTGCAAACAAAGACCTACAAAGAGATGAATTGACTGTGTGATATATGGCTGGAATGGATGCGAATACTAAAATTACTGCAAATAGAAATGAATGGAAAAGAAAAACATATTACGTCGACCATAAATGAAATCACGGGATAAGAGAGATAATGAGAGACAATCTGTTGTCGCATAACATACAACAATATTTCTTGTTGAAGAAGTTTAAAATGGTGCAAACTCGGCAACAATTGTTAACAGTGACCAAGATCTGTAATAACAGATCACCACCGTTTATTTTTTTTTTTAATTTATTAACGGGCGGTGCAAAGTTCAAAACGGTATAAAATAAAATTAATATAGGTACTTAAACAATGCTCTTATAAATTCATACGCTGACGTCATGTCTCGACCTCGCGCATGACCCGACACATGAGTCACCATAAACTGAACGCATCTACTGTAAACTTTCATATATTTTAAGTATACGGGAAAATACTGGAAATAATAAGAAATTAATTTCGAGGCTGCGAATTGCAATGATCAAATATTTGATCACGATATTTATTT